TGCATTGTCTGAGATAGGGGGTGTGTCCCAATACCTTGCACAGTATTTAGTGTACCAGAAAAAATGTTCCAATATATAGTATGTCAAATGCAGTATGCCAAAAACAACAGGATGTCCTACTGCATCCATGTAGGGTTAGGGTTAGGCATTGAGCTTGAGCTCAAGGCGCAACATGTTGGCAAAAGTATGTTTTAATTGTTTGCCTTCTTCCTGTCGCAGTTACTTTGTTACTACTATGCTTGTATACTCAGTATAAGTAGACAAATACTTTTTAGGACATCTGCAGTATGTGATTTGGAACAAAGCATATCACGTTTACCAAGTTTGCCGTTCACTTGCTAACGTCAGCAAATTAGCACTAAACACAAAGTACAGATGAGGCTGATGGCAATGTGATTAGTTTTTCTATTTAGTCAAAATGTTTGTTTATGACTAAATTGTTTACGAGAGTGAAGGTTGGGGACATGAGAATTTGGACCCCAATTCTTCCAAATCTATCTAAACTTACAATATATGTTTGTATCTATTTTATGAGTGTGCAGAGCAATAACATGAAAGGGCACACAAGGTAAAGCTATTTATAAGATGCGCCTTGCAGCACTACTTGTTTTTCCTACACTTTTTATTTATGGTTTCTGGCCTCTCCATCAGCTTGTTTATCCTTCATTTAAGAAGTGGAAGACTTAATTCAACACAGCTGTCCTGGATTTCAATTGCAAAATCATAACATATTGACATCGTATTGTTATTTATATATGAAATTAAATTCCAGTTTATTGGTCTTTTACAGGATGGATTTTGATTTTGATTTTGGCATCCAAGACTTTATTTTAATGCAGTCCAAAGTCAGCGACTTAATCTGAGTTAATAAAAGATGAACAAAATAAAGTTGAGTTTGTTTGTCATTATAAAGAGAAAGAAATAAAGATTCTTGGTACAAAGTCATTCTTTAATTTAATCGTTCATGAGGTTGAGACTAAAAGGATTCCAGATCCAATCCAAACCTCCAGAACAGCTACTAAACAGACATTATGGTGAGATTGTTTTGTAAACCGCACAGGCAGCAGTTTGTAGAGAAAATGAAAAGCAGCTAAATAAAACACCAGACCACCGACACAGTCAGAGAGACTAGCTGGAAAACAAAGTGTAGCATTTAGCATCTAAAGAGCCACGTACTGTATAGCCTTAGGCGATGGATGGTAGAGACCAAAAACAGAGCTAAAAGAGAGAGGCTAATTGACTTCAAATCCCAACCTAGACAGAATCAGATATTTAAATAAACAACTGTTTGCTCAGTAGTTTTCTATATTGAATGAACATTTTTCCAATGATGGTTTTTGCAGGTTTAAATATGGACTTCGACACCAAAGGGGTTGATAACATACTTCAAAAGACATTCTGAAAAACTTCCCAGACTCCCATGAAAAGACAAAAACTTTGAAATTCGATTCCCAGGTTGGATTTCATCCCCACTGAAAGCTAAATATTTATCTCAGTCTGATCTAAATCCATGTCCCCGACAGGCCAGATAGTGAAAGTCTTTGTCCCCTTAGAGCTGGGAGAACATCTCTATCTCTCAGAAATCTCCAGTATCGGATCGGGCCAGCCGGGCCTGTCAGCACCGAAAGTCACAAATCCATAGTGTGTAGCAGTTTGATGTCTCTACAAAGACAGACAGAGATTAAGCATGCTGGTGCCACGGGGTGCACAAGATCCACCAGTGTCTCCATCCTGCAGCTCGACATCAAAGAACAAGTTTGAATTATAGACAGCAAGTGTGCAGGCATGCCTCCGGTGGCTACCAACTCCCGGCCGGATTAACCCCTTTGCCACCCCGAGGAGAGAAAGCAAGCCTGGATCAATTACAAGACCAACAACTGCACATGAGCAGGGGGACAGAGGGTCACTCAGGTTAGAAGGTTTTTCAGTTTGAGGCAATTTAAAGTTACAGCAGGGCTAACCTCTGACAATCAGATTTTAGATGGTGCATAATGTGTTGAACGGTATCTCTCTCTGTCTTTATATCATAGAGTTACTCCTTTTTCCATGTATACATCTATGAGGCTCTGATGCATTGAATGCAAAAGCAGGTGCAAGCAGGTTAAGCTTTTCAGACAGGTCCACCAATTATTAACTCTTTTTCCAACTCCAACGACTTCTCAGACGGTCCGGGCATTACCTCACTTTCTTTTACTGCCATTGCTCACGAAATATTCCCCTTAACTGAACGCCAGCGGTTAAAATGGGGAAAGATTGCAGCATATTATCGGCAGATGGACCCAAGAGGATTTGGATAAGGCCATTAGAGCGCAGATGACACATGGGATTCATTCGGAGGATAAACTGGTGTCGTCAGCAGAAGGCAACGATGGTAAATAGAGCAAAGGGAAACAAAGAAGCACTGAATAACTATTTTGTTAATAATTACTGGCTTTGACTTTTTTCAAAGAGGTTGTATTCTACTGGCTTCAAAAGCAAGTGGAGTCATCATCAATGCTTCCAACATCAATGGCATAGAAAAAGGGTTTTATTGTAAAGCTTGTATAATTGATAGGGACTTTTGTTGCACTTTAAGTAAAGAGCAGTGCAGGAATGAGTCCTAAAACAAAAGATTTAGTCAGCATTTCACCACTTCCGGTTCCCTCGTCTCATAGGTTTTTTAACCTGTTTTTGGTTAGCATAACATTTAGTTTGACTATATAAAATATATGAGTAAATACCCCTCTGGTGAATGTCCAAGCCTCTATGTGTCATCAACGGATATTGACAAGTGACCAAATAAGACTACTAAATGTCATCACACAAACTCTAGCCGTCTTTAGCTTATCGGTGGCGATGCAAAGCCAATGCGACCGCGTTGTCGTTCGTTTATAGCCTAACGTTAGGTATATACTTCTGGCTATTGCATTTACGTTTCAAAAATCGTGAAAATTGTGTTAAAATGTGAGGAATATCCTGTTGAACATAATGTGTAAGTATCATAAACATGTGTTTGCCACAGATCTTATTTTCCTGCAATATTCAAGAAGCCAATGGCAAAAAATCCCATTGCTTTTTGACGTGGGACCCCTTGAGATGCTAACGGTTGGTCTGCAAAACAAAAACGTCCTGACTGCGCCACTTTATTTAGTTAGTTGTGTAAGTTAGTCATAATCTAAATGTTCAACATAAATGAAGTAATGGTAAATAAAGCTGCTGTTTTAGAATTCATGTGCAAATTGATTGTATAAGTGATTGATGTAATTGCATTTTTATATCCGAGATTAAACAAAACATAGGACAGGACAATTTTAAATAATGTGTTCTGAACCAGGATACCAGAAATACATAAGGAAATATATTATTTGTAACAAAGATACATAATAAAAGAGAGAGAAAAACAGGAACATTGTACATGCCAACGTTTGGGACTTATTTGAATTATTCTCAGCATCATTTTGAAAGGAATGGCATAATGATAGTGCAAAGACTGATTTAGAAACAGTAAGGCTAGAATACAACAAAAAAAGCGATATGAAAAAAAGCTGCCCAGATGGAGATAGGCCAAAAAATGAGATGGCAAGCAGCTGTTAAAGCCAGCTGCCCGGCCAGTTGTTCATACGGGCCGGGAGGCCGGGCGGAGGGATTCGGAGACATTTCGGAAAGGCGTGGGGGGGTTTGAGTAAAGATATAACAAGCAGGCAGAGACAGTGAGGGGGGTTGACAGGGAGGTGGGAAAGTGAACAAAAAGAGTTCAAACTAAATGATTTTGTTCACTATGGCAGATTTAGGAGTGGAACAGATGTATCAGTAGGTTAACCTTGGCTCTGTTCTACATTGCACTTTCCTTTTAAATACATCTGAGAAACGGTTCATTATGAAAAAGCCCTAAATCACAGTAAAAGATCCATAACGAAGAGATAATGGAAGCATTTTCCTAAAACAGCATGGGGATAAATATCACACTGAAACAAAGCAGCTGTGGCTCAGAAGGTAAAGGGGGCGTCTACCAATTATTAGAGGGTCAGTGGTTTTATCCCCAGTCAAATGCAGTCAACATGTCGAGGTGTCCTACGAAAAGATAGTTGAGCACAAAGTGTTACCGTAGGCCTGTCTAAGGTATAGAAGTAGGATGTTAAATAAGCCACTGATATATATACAGATATGTTTGAACTCTTCCACAATGGTGAAAGACCAAACAAGTTCTTTCAATGTGATATTTAAACCACTAAATCTCATCTGGTAGCACAACATTTATAAAAACCGTGAAGACTTTTGTGCTTTTTCAGTTCTCCTAACAGCCAATATGACCATTTTAGTAATGACAGTTGCTTATGGTACATAGGAGCCTCCTCGTCCTAGCTGTCTTTCTTTATTGTAGATAAAGTGTGAAAAGGACTCATTACTAAAAGTATTACATTTTAAATGTAACATTAATGCCTGCATTATGTCATCTAGAAAGCTTATATGGGCATCATTTAATATCATATCATTAAAAAAAATCAGATGAGTTACATAAAAATGCTGTCAAATGCAGATTTTCATTTACATTTGAAGATTGCGGTTACTTAATGAAGCCAATTATAAGTCAACACCCTTACTATACATCAAGCATAAAATCACCACAGGACGTCCTGCAGGAAGCTCCTGTTCAGTGTGGACTACTGGGCAGATGTTGGGGGAAAGCAAACCTAAGGCTGCCACCTTGTGGCCTTTTCTGAGTGATGCATGCAACTTAAAGAGGATCACAAAAAGAGGAAAGCGTAGCTGCAGGGCAAAAGCATGCGATGACAAATCATTCTTTGACACTGAAAATGATCAGTGTTCTTAGGGCAGTGTTAAGTACATGGCTTTCATCTGCTTGAACTTTGACTGACAAATGCATAAACATTTAGCTAATTCAAGCTGTTCAACTGCTCTCTCATTTTGGGGTCAAATTGAATACAGCATCACAGATGTGTAATTGTGAGTGTGCTGCATCAGATAGGGGTGTGGGTTTGAAAGATGTTCCAGAAACTTACTGTAAACTCTTCAGATGTTTCTGTGTTTGTGTTTCCTTTGGTCCGACAGCAACGCACTGATCTCACCTGGCAGCCTCCGAGGAACTCTGATAAGAGAAAAGTACAAACAGATCAGTGAGAGACATTGAGCACGTTCCACAGCAGCTGCCATAACTCTCCCACAAAACTGCAGAACAACAGAAAGTGATATTCATCACAGGTGTTTTTAACAGGGCTTGTATTTATATTCTTGTATAAAAACAGTTTATAAAATAGGGTAAAAGATTAAATGTGAAATTATATTTAAAGCAAAAGAAAAACCAAATAAATCCTTCAAAATCAGAATACGGAAGATATTTTTTCATAGCGATTGTCTTATTATTACATTCCCTTATTGCATATTCATCTTTCTTGTAAACAGTTTTGATATTTATAATGTTTTGAATATTTCAGTGTTGTACTATTATTTGACATCTGTATTTCTCTTACAACATACACCAAGGCAAACTATGTTTAAACCTAATGGCATTAAACCTATTTCTGATTCTCAATAGGTAGGGTAAGAAAATATGGATACAGAAATGTATTGAAATATTATGTTTAGTGATACTAAATCAACTGAAAAAGACATCATGGGTCTTTATTTAATAGTTTACCTGCAATGATCAACTCATTTCATCCTTTTTTTAATGCTATACGTCTCTTACTATTGCTATTATGACCCCAGTATTTATAGAAAAGCACTCTTCGTGCAAGTGCATCAATGTAGTGCTATGTTATTTGATGTTACATTGTATTACATTACATGTCACTTGTTAGACGCTTTTATCCAAAGCAACTTACATACTCAATACTGTGGGCAATTTGGGGTGAAGTGTCTTGCCCAGGGACACAACGACATGCTGACTGCAGTGGGGTTTGAACCTGTGACCCCCTGATCCGAACACCAACGCACAACCCACTGTACCACACGCCTCCCTCACATGCAGGGAATGGGATAAATGCTAGTGCAGAACCCTCTGTTCTAAACTTTCTTCACCCAGACTTTTTTTCACATATGTTCCCTCAACCCAACCCACAGACCCAGCCCTCTGTCTTTGTTCCACTTCTGTTTCTAAACAGTTATGCGGCTAAAGAGCAGCTGGTCACGTTCATATGATGTTTACAAGCTATGAAAAGAGGATTACTTAGCTAACGCTCGTGAGAGAAACACTCACAACAAACAGAGCTTAGTAGCCAGTCCATATGCACAATGTATCAAACCTCTTTTTACTTTTTCTGTCATACCTCCTCCTATCTGAAGCTAACCTGTCTGTTTAAAGGATTGTTTTTACTGAATATAGGTCAAGTGTTCGCTGATTAGACCACAAATAATGACTTCAAAGTGTGCATCTCTAGAAGTTTTGGAAATGGAAAAATATATACAGTCTCTACAGGAACTCTGGGATCAAGAACCATTCATTCAAAGATGTGTGCATGTGACTAAGACAAACAAAGACAACAAAATGTAAGGTAAACTAGTGAAAGAAACGGATTTATGTAGCCTAGATGTAATGTAATAGACAAAAGAGAAGAACAAAAAGCCAAGGAAGCTTTTTTCTGAGGGATATTAAGATCAATTAATTAAAAACAGTCAGGTATTATTGAAGATTCAGAAGGTAAGGTATTAGATTATCTGAGGTAGACAGATAATTGCATTTACATAGAGGTGATAGAGACTTAAACTGGACCTCACTTCCCTGTGAATTCAAGCAGGTGTTCAAATAAATGAGTTGAGCAACCCCTATTCAGAAACATCTCTACTTTCAGTCAGCTAACATGTTTTGCAACAATACAACCACCAGACACAGCGGGAGGGCACAGCACAGGAATGTTTCTGCACAACTGTAGTTTCGACAAATGTTGCGACTGGAAAGCAGAAAACATTGATATAGTTTCCATAAAACGACGGTTTAATGTTTTTGCAAACTTAAATGTGTGAATTAAAACAAATACAATGTTACACGTTGTATTCACTGTAGTTATCGTATCAACAGTTACCACACGCTGTGATTCGTGCTTTATTCAAAGTGTCCGTTAAGAGTTTGTGACGTTTTAGGCTAACCTGTGTCAATTAAAATGACGTTATCGTTATAGCTTCGGCCTTAACGTTATGTCAAATCACAGGAAACCCTATCAGCAAACCTAGCGTGAACCGTTAATACCAAGGGTTCACTATGCAAGCCGAAACATTCAGACACACTGTCTCGGCCTCACGTAGTGCTTAAAACTATGTCTACTTGCTTCATTTTATCACCAAAACATTACAACGCTGAGTCGCCAGGCTAGCTAGCTTAAGTTCATGTTAGCTGACTGACGCTGGCTAGCCACTGGCTGCTAACCTCGCTGACCAAAACAGCTGGCTAAACAACAGCAGTACTCTGAGGTTCCCTTCTTAAGTAGGCTGCATACTCACATGGACACACACCGGCAAAGAAAGCAAAACACGCCAGACTCTCGTAGGCGATAGGAAAAGTATTCCCGGTCCTCTACTTTAGTTTTTGCCGGATGCTGATGAATCCACTATCCAAGCATCAAACCATGTTGGGTGGGCAGCTGCGCACTGAGTTCTTGTTTGCACTCGAAATCCATTAGGAGGTTTGTGGGAAAACGTAGGGAACTTCGAAGGACACTAGGAGGAAACGACCTGGCCTCCTACTTCTTCAGAGAGTTTTTACAGTATTCTAGCAGTTATCTCTTTGTTTTATGGGAAGCATGTATCCTTCTGTAGTATTCTTCTTTTTGGGGTATGTTTAAGGACTAAGGGATACAGATGTAGGCAGTTGTAAAAAAACGAGTGGAAGAAGTAGGCTATTAATATGTATTTAGTCTACTAAAAAACAATGTTACAAGTAATAGCCTTCTATTCTGAATCAGAATCGGTTTAGAAGAAGTAGGTTTACACATAGGCCTACGAGGAATTTGCTTTGGTATATGCGGTGCGTACAAAGACACAGAAAGAAGAATACATAGCAAAACAAAATAAAATAAAAATAGGAATTTTATGACAGCTATTTTGAGACTATTATAACAAATTAACAATATTTACATATGACAAATACTATATACTCTATCTAACGTGGAGAGATGTGCTGATTTAAAAGAGGTAGTGTGGAGAAGAAAAGTGCAACATGTGAAGGATTTGCCATTTTAAAAAGAACAAATGCATAATGTTTCTCTGGGGTTCAAATCTTAAACACCTATTTAAGAAGGCTATAATAAAAAATGTAGGCCTAACATTTAAGATGCCCTTTAATAATGAAGCTGGCTATAATAGAGATAATTTTGTTCATTTGTATACTGTTTTGCCGCAGAACAATGTTTTGTATTTGACATACTCATTAAAGCTTTTATAATCTTCAAGTTAAAGTCAGCCAACAATAGCCTACTGTAAAGTAAATAGCAGAACATTTCTCTCCTTCAGTTCAGTACTTCTGTAAATGTACCTAGATATTTGTCACCACTATAAAGTACAGTGCCGTATAGATATATATATAATTATTTGAAAAAAACAGCCTGAATCGAATTTTAATTTTGACAGTTATAACTATTACCGAAAGTCTTACCTTCACTTTGAGCAGTTCATGTTGTGGGCTTTTTGCCAAAAGACTAGTACGAATGCTAAATTATAATAAAAAGGGCAAAATGCTAAAAGACAATGAAACCATTGCTCAAATCTGTAAGAACGTTTTAATTGTAGAAAGAAAAACCTTTTTTAATCACAAAAAACCTTTTGGTCTGTCCTTCAAATCTCTATAACTATGGCACTAATGACAGACACAATAAATGAGCTGACTATAGGAGGAGGTTGAGGAAGAAGGAACAGCTAAAAGAGAGAGACTAGCATACCCTCAGAAATTACCAGCCATTAAGATGGTTGTAGCATTCTGCTGCTGTTTAAAAGTGCTTTACATGACAGTCATCAGGGTCAACCCATAAATACCTTTCACTCTAACTGCCTGCTTGATGCTTTGGCATTACACTTTATTAGATTTGCTCTAACAATGGCTGCCTTGTTCAGATTCTGTTCCACAGCTGCATGTGTAAAAATGGTTTGTCTATCATAGATATCATCATCTCGGATAGTCATAGTTTCACCGAAGTAATGAAAGAGAGATGAATATTGCAAAGTGTATAAAACAGAGATGCTATGCCACAGGAAAAACGGCGTCATACAGCAAAAAACATTACAACCTTAATAAAGCATTAGATGTTATGATACAGTCTGAAAACAAATGAAAATTCCAATAAGATGTATATATTAAACACTCATTGTTACATTTTATATCATGGTGGCTGTAACCTAGTTTTATTTTCTAGCTTCATAGCTTGGAGCAATACCCTGACATTTATAAATGTGCTGTTTTTTTTTCTTCAGTCTAAAAGAAATGACTATTTTCCCACTAGCAGGACTATTTCTAAGAGAACTGGAAACCATGAAATATCCAAAAACAATTCGATAAGATATGCTCGAATAAGCATATCAAGTAATATATTTGTTATCATACAACTCCAGTGAATCAGAATCAGAGTGCTTATGTATACCAGGAAATTGGGTTTTGTGACACTTACTCTGTTTGAGAATAATATGAAATGTAAAAAAATGAATGAAAATAAAACAAAATATATAAACATAAAAAGTTAAAATGTCGATAAAGATCAAATCTAATTAAATATAAATTGTATGCTACTGTATTGTACTGCAATTATATAAAATTTAAAGTAGTAAATTAGTATTTGTAAAAATAATGCAACATTTGCACAGTTTAAGAAGGTTTGGCAACATTTTAATTCAAGAGAAAGCCAAACTCAGTCATTATCTAGAGTTAGTGGATAAAATGAATTTGTTGTATGTTTTACAATTGTGCAGTGAGGATACTAATTATGGTACAATAAAGAAAGATCCAGACTAAAACTGCAAGACTTTAATGGCATTCAAAGAAACTGTGTAAAATCCATGTTTTAGAAATGTCCATGTTTCAAAATCTATTTAATCTTATATGCTACATTTCTACACTGATTAAGGTGGAATAAACTTGTGGGAAATAACAGATAAACTGATTGTGACAGACGAAAAACACACAGTCAACCAACAAATGTAGTCTCTGAGAATTATTTTGGACAATAGTTTTCACATGGGGGCAGTATGACTACCACACTGTGAATTTGGCATACTGCACTCACAGCTCATTTATCAAATCTGTGGCGCTCCCTGCTAAGTGAAAGCTATAATGTGTCTCATATAGCCGACTGTAAATATGGCATCATAAGCACCCTGTATGAGCCCGTTATGCATTATTCATGACTGTTCAGTCACAGACAACTGCTCTAACAACATTAATATTCATCACATTCTATTGTGCAATACAAATGTTTCAAAATGCATCTGACTACTTAACACCTCCACTGTGGTAGATTAGGTCTAACTGTCTCATTTAAAAGCACTTTGACTGGGTAGAACATGCAGGACTGAGCTGTGCAATGTTACAAGGTGATTTCAAAAGATATCCTCCACGAGTAAGCATGTATAAGGAAGGGCAAAACTCTTTGCACGGCTCAGATTTTCACAGCATGACATCTGGATCAAACAGCATGTGGGGATTTATCTATATGCTTTTACCTGACACTAGACGTGTTCTTCTTTCTGTTTTTTTTTGTTAAAACTCATGAAACAGTATTACGAAACCTGCTTTTCTGGATGAAGAGGAGGTCTATAACTGCAACAACTCTGCAGAGGCAAAGCAGGTGCAGGCTGAAAACGAAGCAGAAACAGCCCAGCAAAATATATAAATGGTTAACTTAAACAGGCTGTGTTTTTCAGTGGAAGTGTCTAATTGATGCTCATGCTAAGTTAGCCACCTGGATCCATTTCCCCTCAGAATTAAGCCTCTTTTAATTCTCCTCATCGCTCAACTTATTCCTCGGAAACCAGCTGAGTAAACACATCGGCTTCTGCACATCTCAAACACTAAGCACTAAATGTATGCAAATAGGTCTCGGCCTATATGTTTTATAACTGTCTGTCTTAGTAAAAAGTAGGTCTGCTATTGGAGATGTTGCTACATATGATTGCCCACACCTACAATATTATTAATATCAACAGCTGGATTTCCTCTCTGAAATGAGGTTGGGGTCCAGTGACAGTTTTCCACTTTTTATATTTACAGTAATCCATAATGATTTTTTCTCTTCTGTTTCTTACATTAACAACCAATAGATTCAGAATCAGAAATCCTGTATAAATCCCACAGCTGGACATTTACATAATGACAGGAAAGGGGACAGTGTAGTTAAAAAGTATAACATTTAAAAATAAATGGACTTACATATTAAACAAAGAGGCAAGCACATGTTAATACAAAATAAAATTAATTCACCTCCCAGGTTGAATAAATAAGAAGCAGCATGTTATGGTAGTTGTAAGTGAACATATAACATTTGTAAAGTAGCAGCCAGTATTATTCAAGAGGCTTTAATGTCATATGCACAGTAGCTACAGTGTAGTTAAGGCAATACAAATCTTAAGTCTCAAGCTCAACGTTGCAACATAGAGCACATTTAAAAAATAAATAGTGCAAGAAGAAACAGACTAGAATAGATTAGGATAAAATAGTGCAGATTATGTTGCAGACCATAAAGTAATGCAGATGAAGTAAACTACATACATGTCAGAACTATTTATAAATACAATAAGTCAAATATTGCAGAGAATGTTGTAAGTGACCAAGTCAATGCAGGAGTCTATTCACATGTAAATAGATTACCATAATGTATTAACAATAGTAGAGTATAGTTAATAGTAAAACGTATATATTGCACAGTGTTATTGTACAACATGTTTGTCACAGTATTTTTGGATGTTCTTGTAAGTCATTATTTATAAGAATACAATGGGCTTTTACTGGATTTAAATAGTGCAACATCGTTGTTCACAAGCCTCAACAACATGATTTTGAAAGTTCTATGTGCAAATGTAACGCAGTTACTCATGTAATCTGTTACTTCTGGCTGTTGCTGACTGGTCAGGGTGGTGAAGTGTCCTCTGGAGGGGAGCCGCCGCTGTGGTCACATAATAAACTGCATCCCCTGTAGATCAGCGAGCCTCAGCGAGCCTCGCTCTTATTTCAGGGATTTGTAGTTTTTAGTGTAAAGAACGCCGACGCACGGCAGAGGCCTTTGTGAGAGTAAAACTACAGTTCCCTCAGAGCTACTCAGAGGTGTTAGTTGTCAATATGGCTGTTGTCAGACAGACAAAGCAGAGAGGCAAATAATTCGCCACTGATTAGAAATCCTTGGAAAGGGGTCGGTCAGGGCACTGTATTCATACCGCCTTACTGTTCGGCTGCAGTGAAAGACACAGCGGGTCTTTGCTCCAGTAACAAAGTTAAATGGTTAAGTGGACGATTTGAACCGAGGTAAGTCATGCACTAAGCTATTTCCAACACTAAAAGTGATGTTATTAATATCAGACGGTCGCTAGCCAGCAACGGCGGCTAACGTCAGCTAGTATCAGCATTGGCACGGCTAGCATGTTATGCTATCATTCTACAACCCCAGTGCTACCGAAAATAGCATAAGTTGCTAGCCGTCCTCTGTGATGCATACGGACTGTTACCCGGTATAAATGCAGCAGCAGCTCCAGTGAAAATCATTTATGAGCTTGAGTGTTTCAAGCCGGCTCATTTAGCGTTTCATAGGACACTGTCACTCAGTCTGCCAAAGAAACATTTGCTAACGTTAGCTCGTGGGCAAAGGGCGTGAAGGCTGGCATCACAGCGGCTCCCCTGCAGCGCGGAGCGGCAGATCTGTGCTCCAGGGCCACAGTCAGCAAAACAAAAACACATGGACCAAAAGATACCAGCAACTTTGGTCAGTGTTTGGACAATCTAGAAAAATACACTGCCAAAGAAACGCGTTTGATTTACACAACAGACTGTACTGGGGATATCGAATGCATCATGCATGCAATCTGTATTTAGGTAAGAAAGCTTCCTCCTTTTTTTTTTTGCATAATGTAAAACTAAACATGATGTATCTACTGTCATTGGTCATTTTGACTACTTTTCTTTTTTGTGTTATAACTAGTTCTCTAACTTACTGTTATCAAGTGATTCCTTAGGGATGTGTGCAAAAGAAAGTGTATCATCTGTCAGCACTGACCACACTCAATGGCTCTTGACTTATGATTATATAGAAACATTGGATCAGTCACAGTCTTTGTTCTCTTCTTATGGGTTGCACACCTCCAGTTGGTGTTATGTGTGACCTACAGTAAAACAGTGTAGAGCATTGATGTACATTAGGCTGATTCTGTGTTCCTTGCAGGGTGTGTTTCAAGCAGTTAAAAAAGCTTTAAATTGAATAGTTAACTTTGTAAATACTCAACCAGGATGGCTAATGATTCCAAATGCTCATATTTGCTTGCAACGACTAATGAGTCTCTGTAAAAATAACACAGAATATCTGAAAGTACTGAAGAAGTAGTTAGTGCCTTATTTTCATATTAACAATCCAAGTCAAATAAAGCATCTCATAGTTTTATTTTGAATTTGTGCAGCTCACCCCCTGGGATGTGACAGGGTTTTGCAATGTAACTGAGCTTGATAATGATTTACAAGCTTCCATATGGATTCCTAATGTCAACTAAAGAACTAGTTAATGTTCTGCAGTACCCTTTAACTACCCTCTGCTATAAGTAATGTATTTCAGGGCCCTCTCAATGTTTCTTAAATGTTGGCAATTGTTCTTTTCCTTTCAAATCTCGGTTTTACAGACCGCCTGAGGGTTTCATCTCATCACGGCTATATTAGTTCCCTTCATGGTGATTTAAAAACACAGCAGACACTCTTAAGCATTTCGTTTTTTTTCCCTGTCCTTTGCACAGCTTAGACTAACACAGATGTAGAAAAATGCCAGTGACCCCTTTTATAGCGTTAATCATATCAGCATAGGTCGCGCTGGCACAGAAGATGGAAAATCTGCCGCAGTCTGAATCCAGTTGCATTGATTTTGAGCACAGCAAATTGCTTATGAAAAACATACAGCGTGGGTGGTGTGCAGCGCCGGGGATATATTGTAGCTCTTAAAGAATGGCAGTCAGAATGTTAAGATAGCATCAGCTGTCAAGGTGACTCTGGCACTCTGCGTGTGTTGCCGGCTGGTTCCCAAAAATAGCAGATTTTTATGCCCCTCCCTCCCTTTTTCTTTCACACTATCTCTTGCTCTTGTCTTCCTTTTCTTATTTCCTGTGTCTTTATGTTCTTGCAGTTTTTCCTCCTTTTCCAGCCCTCTCTTTCTACCTTTCTCTGCCTCACTTCTTCCATATCATTCAAATGTTTCTCCTCATCTGAACTGTGTTTCTTTTCCTACTTAATCCTCCCATTGCATCCTTTCATCTCTCTCATTTCTGCCTGCCTTCACTCCTTGTGCCTCTTTTTCTCCATTTCCTGTTTCCTTTCCTCTCCTCCTCTCCTCCTCTCCTCCTCCTCTCCTCCTCTCTCCTCTCAACCTGTCTGTCTTGTGTCTCCTCCAGCAGCAGGATGTCTGAGTTCAGCGAGGAGCCGCGCTTCACCATTGAGCAGATAGATCTGCTGCAGCGGCTGCGTCGCTCCGGCATGAACAAGCAGGAGATCCTGCACGCGCTCGAAACTCTGGACCGGCTGGACCGGGAGCATGGCGACAAGTTCGGCCGCCGCACCTCTTCCTCCTCCTCTTCCTCGTCCTGCTACGGAGTAGGTGGGGCCAACAACTGCACCAACAACTCTGCCTCCAACACTACTACATCACTCAACAATAACAACACTGCCTCTGCAACCACCACCTCTTCCGTGACATGCAACGGCAACACCAGCGGCGAGCGCAATCGCTCCGCCCCCGCCGCGTCTTCCACCACCTCCAAAATCTCCACCGCCACGCAGACGCAGTTCGGCAGCGCAGGGGGGCACTCTCCGTCTCCTAGCAACAGTTACAACACCTCCCCGCCTCCGGGACCACCGCCGCCTTCTGCCATCTTGCCATCACCGGTTTCGCTGGTGGCTCATACGCAGAACGGCAGGGATAGCCTAGCCGCCACACCCAACGGGAAGCTGTCTCCTCCCAGATACCCAGTGAACAGCGCGGCCGCAGCACGAGCATTCGGGTTCGAAGCTACAGAAGAAGACCTGGACATTGACGACAAGGTGGAGGAGCTGATGAGGTGAGTAGAAACGGAGGTGAAGTGGGAACTAAAACTTTGTTTGAGGAAACTTTCTACTCATTGTCCAACTTAAGGTTGTAGAAATAGACAATACATAACAGTAAGTAGGTGATACAAGACTAATATCATCAGTAGTATTGTATTATAGTGACCCCTTTATTTTAAACACATGTTCATGTACACAGTGAAATTGGACCTCTGCATTTAACCCATCCTATTACTAGGAGCAGTGGGAAGCAAGTGTACAGTGCAATGGGGTGGGGCAGGGGTAAAGAACTTTATTTTAAGAACAGCGAATGAATGAAGACATTTCCATAATATCAACACGTTTTACAAAGTCATCTTGTGGGTACAAAACACTAGAGGTGCTTCAAATTTAAAGCTATTATTCATTGTCTTTCATTCATGCATTTCCAATTTAATCAACTTTCGTTAAATTGTCCACTTTTGTTTGGATTGGAGATTCCTTTTCATTGGCACAAATACCATTCACTATGAGGCAAGAAAGCACGCTTAGTCAGGATGAATTAGATAGCACCAACTGGAGTTAGCTGAAACTCCATTGTGTGCAGCTGCCATACATGTTCAGAAAATCTGAGGTTTTAGGGTTCATTCCTGTCCTTGAAAACAGCAGTTGATAAAGCAATCTCACAGAGTTTTATAAGAGTATATTTTCTGATTTCTTTTTTTTTCTGGCATAATATCTGATGTCAAGTTTATTCTTGACATTGAAATGGACCAGTATGCTGGTGTCGAAAAGAAACCATCATTCATCTTATAGGGTTATTGGAGCGGTTGTCTATGTTAATGTTAAAGTTGCGGGTCCAGTGAGGGCACAGCTGCTGGTGGGATTTGAGACAACACTAGTGAAAAACCAACACGGTGCAAGTGTTCACAGTGCACGGCATGGCAGTGCTCTAATAAGAGTATCAGAATAGAGACAGCACTAGGTTGGTACACTGTAAAAACTGTTGCTTTGGTAAAACTTAAAAAATATGTGTCAAGCGATTCCAAGCAATTTTAATTGTTTAGTCAACTTTTGCAATTTTTTAGTTTTCCTCTACTCAAGAATGTATTACTTTGCTAAAACTTAAAAAATATGTGTCAAGTGGTTCCAAGCAATTATAGGAGTTGGGTAAACTCACTAATGTGATTTTTTCTGCATATGAAAAGATGAGTTGAGCCTACAATTAAAAGCCAAGATATTAAGTGTAACCAATGCAAATAACAATCTGCTAAGAACCACACGAGAATAAAGTAAATTATAAAACACAATTGAGTTGCCGGAACCTATATACGACAAACTCTTCCTGATTTCAATCCAACCCTTTAAATATTTGATAGCATTGAAACATTGCAGATTAAACAAATAAATTAAAAAAGGGAACGTTATGGACATGTTAATACATTTTATTAAAATGTGATTATTTCAAAACAGTTTTCATAAAAGAAAACAAGTTTGTTTAAAAGCACAACACATTAACATACATGGAGACACATGGTTATTACTTGATGGTTATAACTGCATCTGGCTCGTGGGCAACGTATCACTTCATGCTGTGCATCACGAGCCTGGTGCACTTCGACCTCTGCTGTTCCCTGTAAATACAAATAAAACACTAAATTGAGTACAAATCAGGACACACCATGTGTTTTCCTCACAAACAAAAATCAAATCCGTCTTGAAAACATAACGAGCCAGTTTACATTAGCTGTTAACAGACGGTAACAGAGGTGCTATTCACATGCATTACAAGGGGTTTAAGCCATCAAAAAAGGCTGGTTTGCAAGAAAATAACCAAATAGTCATGATATTGATATAGTTCATAAATGTCCAACTACTTCTTTTAACCCCACCTCATGCTCAGAGATGTATATAAAGTGGCACATGGGTCCTAGAATAAAAAGAACAGACGATTATTTCAACTTTTATCTTGATAAGTGAGAGCGCAGGCCAGTCTACATGAATGCAGGGCAAGGCACGTTTCTGTCCAAAGGTTCCATGATGGAGTCGATAATGTTTTAAAATATCACTTTGAGTGGTGACACTAGTGCTGCATAGTTTACATCTCCATCCCATCTGTGATTCAAAAAATAGAAATGGGTACGTTTACCTGATGCTCATTATATTAGTATGTAAACATAACACGTCTTGAATTAACCTCTGAAACAACAACTCTGACACTCAAGGGTTTACCTAATGTGAACCTGAAGTCCATAGCAGGAGGCAAAATGTCTTCAAGAGGAGGTGTGTTTTCTGGTGAGGCAAATGAAAGAACAAAATAGTTACATGATGACAATGTAACAATCATTTCAGTAGAATTCATTAAAACATATTTAATTCAATTAATGGAATCAAACATTAAAACACAAGTATCATTTAAAACGGTATTGTATTTATATACATTTATAAGGATGGCATTGTTAGATACCAGTACAATTCCATGATTCTCTACACAGCAGATCCTAATTACTTCAATATACACTCCTTTATCTCGTTTGCATACTGTCTAATATCTACTTTATGTTGTAGTCAAACATCTCCTTAATAAAACTGTATTTATTGATATTTCTCGCTAAAGACTGCATTTTACTGTACTACATTGAACACATCTTGCTGACGTTATACATGCCTCCTCGCCCAATAAACACTTTTACTGAATTGCGCCTGAATGCACCTTAACTGAAGTCACCTCCGTGACTTTCTACTGAGAGCTAACGTTAACTCTCCTGCAGATTCCAACATGGATAGCGTTGCATAAGCATGACAAATATAGTTTGCACTTAATTTTGTATAATAACAACTCGATGCTGTAACTGCAGACTATGAGTTTAAATTGGGTACACTAAGATTGTTGAAAGATAATTCATTGCTCACAGTAAAACAAACGGCGAAATACATATAGAGGAATTAATATCAAATAGGCGCATTAGTAACTTACTCTTACATAACCGCTGGGTTATAAAGTAGTAGGGAATAGTTTTAACGGAGGTATTTTACCGCACAACATGCACGGCAGGAGAGCCTCTGAGCCCCGCGGCCGCATCACGGTGCCCGGGCCAACGCTTAGAGCGGCATAGGGGAACAGTTTGCGGAGTTGATTCTTAATACGTACTCTTAACTTAACCACTTTTAACAGAATTGCGTCGGTAAGCACTTGATGCAAACTTTGCCCAACAACTTTGCGTGAAGAAATAGACTACATGAGCACGACAGGGCTGAGTCTAACTTTAACAGCAGTAATGGCGCTGGCATGCATTAAAATGTCGATGTTTCGTTCAAAACAGTGAATACAAGAAAAGTAAATAACTTGCTAGTTAAAAAGCAGTAATTAATAACTCAGGTGGCATGCTTACTTGTTTTACGATGGTTTGAGGAGGATCCACGCAAACACGTGTCCAACTGCTGAAGAACCGCTGCAAAGAGGAACAGGAAGTCTCACACCGCGTATTCTCGTTTGAGGGCGTGGCATGACCGTGGCGTTGAAAAAAGCATTTTTATTACGTTTTCCAAAACGTCTTTTTAAAGAAAGTTCAGAAAATGTGATATTAATTTACAAATTAATGAGTTCTTAAAACATGTTCTCATTGTTGCTTACGTGTTACTTAATTAAACGCACATTGAAAAAAAACTAATTTAGGGCAAGTAAATTACATAAAAAAATTGAGTTTTGTTGACTTCACCATCGGAACTGTTTTTACAGTGTACTTAGATAGCCCTTTACACGTGCAGTGTGAACCACAACACCTTGACGTGAAAGGTGCAAAATATAAACCAAAATGTTCTCTACGAATGGATCAATTGTTTAGTTGTTTGCCGTTGACATGTATGTACATCCTGTATCAAAATAACAAAGACAGTCATAAAGACGTTCTTGTTGAGATAATCCGTAATTATCCTATGGCACGAGAAGGGAGGTGTTCTGTGCTGAACCTTTTTGAAAAGCCTTCAGGGGGACATTTCGTGAGAAGGAGAGAAGAGAAGCTTTTACAATGGTGCACCTCTAGATACATTACATGAAATCACATACTGTAACATCAAAAAAGGTAAAGATTGAAAACCCCTGCTCAGTAAGTTAGAGCCTCTTTTTGAAGAAACTTCACTCAAGTTCCAAATTGAAGAAGGTTTGTGCATGTAACCTAAAGGTCACAGTACAACACAGTGGTTGTGATGAGCGTATTGTTCCCATCTAAGTGAAAAGGCTTGTTGTTGTTTTGATATAATAAACACATTAAGTCATTTCCTTTGGGTGATCTAAGGGTTTCCCCTGGAAGCGTTCTCATTGAGGTTTATGGAGTGATGAAATAATGACATCTTTTTGTAGGCCAACCCGGAAGTTAGAATGGCAAGGGCTTCCCCGTCAAAAAGCATTGGTATTTTTCCACTGGATTTGAAAATATAGCAGAGAAAAAGATGGAAAACAGGCATTTAGGATAATTGTACAGTTTGGATCATCTCAATATATGAACATATGAACGCGTTATTATCGCTTTAACGCATTCATTAACGCAGACAATTATTTTATCGCGCATTAACAGTTTTTTGTATTAATCAAATGAACCGAAACACAAAAAAAGTGGCGGGGACAGAAACATGGAGAAAGGTACCGAACTCTTACATGGACATTTAACCACAGAGTTATTTGGAACCACTGCCAAGTAGAACTTTCTTATCACTTCTATAACAAACTAGATCAAACGTTAATGCCCTGGCAGTGGCAAATGGCTTTGGTTTTATATTTGATTTGATTACATTAATTCATGTTTCATTTGAGATTTACAAGAACTATTTGAACTGCCCCTGTGTAAATGGAATACTGCTGTTAAACAACTATAACGTGTTTCTCTACATCCATTACTGTGGCAGGTCAGTATTTATACTCCATCACTTTCCACATGTTAGCCACCCCCTCTTCGTCTGAGCACTTTCCACAGGAGCCCTCTCCTCCTGCTGCCTCCCAGCTGCCCTGAGTGAACAGTATAGGCATGTAGAGCTCCGGCCGTCCCATTGCTAATTCCCTCTGCCTCTGCATCAGATCACATGTCCTGTTTCGACAACAAGAAGTTAAGTAGCTTCCTCTCGGTGTGTAGGCCTCGCTCCGCAGGGCTGCCAGGGCGTGACAGGCGCTTTCGGCTTGTCAACAATCCCACGGTGCCCTTCGGATTTCTTCCCTCTCATCTAAGTGCACATTTCCGTCTCCGCAGGGGTTCGGCCTTTGAGTCGGCATCCAACAACACATCTCCCTCCTCCCTCCCTCCCTCCCTCCTGCACTTCCCACTCCTCCTCAGTCTTGTACAGCAGCTCGTGCTACATCGATTCACTTTTGTCGATACAAGCAGTGTTTTCTAAGCTCTAATTTTAGCCGCGCCGCAAGAGGCTGCCGTGGAGGATATTGACGCTGGATGTCAAGAGTCCCGACTCATTTCTCATTTCAGAAATATGCTAGCGGAGCACTCGTGCCCTTCTCCATTATGACTTCTCTGTGGGTTCAAAGGATGCTGTGATTGTACGGTTCAAGCACCAGTGATATTTAAGTTAGTGGGGGTGGGAGTTTGGTAAAAGTATGCACTATATAAGTGTGGATAAATATGCACCGACTAGTGTACACATTTGACAGGTGTTCAAAATCTGTACCACGATTAAGCCGAGACAGTCATAAGCTGCTGGGTGTGTATGTAAGTCAACGTTATTGTGTGTGCACAGAGGAGGGGATTGGGCTGGAAGCCAGAAAGCAGGGTGGGTACACTGTGTGACTGCACATGTTCCCTCACCACCCTCCGCTCCTGCATGTCTGTGCATGTTTTATTTTTCCCCCGCTGAGGACTGAGACATTGGAAAATGTATTTCACTCCATTCTGTGTCAATGAATTGAAATTCATGCCTTTGTGTTCCTCTGAAATGCATCGTTGATTATGTGGGAGCCATAATAGAAGAGAACAATACGCGGATAATCAAAATGCACCTTAGATTAAAATGGTTTTGTCCTATTTAATATGGCATAATGCTGGCACAATACAAAAACCATTTGACTATTTGAAATGTAAACAGTTTTATTCAAAAACACTTTGATTTTGTCGAAAGCATACAGGAGCCATTTGGGCTAAAGTATCCTGCTCAAGGACACGTCGACATGTACAGGGACTGGGGATCAAACCACCCTCCCTACGATATGTAGACGACCATATAACCCCTGAAAGCATGAACATCTTTTAATATCAGTTTTTCAATCTGGACTAAATGTCTTTGAATAAAATGTGGGGGTCTTTTAAATGCTGTGTGATCTTTTCCTATGTCAAATACCTGCTTGGTTCTTTACATTAAGCTGCTGTGTGTGTGTGTGTGTGTGTAGGAGGGACAGCAGCATGGTGAAAGAGGAGATCAAAGCGTTCCTGGGGAACAGGAGGATCTCTCAGGCAGTGGTGGCACAAGTTACCGGTGAGTAGCAATAATGACACTGTCGTTAATCTGAATAGTTTTAGTTGCAAACACACTGACAGTTTGCCCATTGTGCACATGTTGTTGTTAAATGTGCGTCCCTCCAGTTAAAATGTAGACTTTACATGTTAAGCTGTACAAATAAATCCGAGGGAGACTTATATATAACATTTCAAATATGGTTTGAGTTTAAATCATTCCCTTCCTCTTTTCCTTGTGTTACTACGGACGTCTTTATGAAAGCTCATTTCTCAATTTTCTCCAAACTATAAATGCAAAGAAATAATAATGTGGAAGCTTCTGTGTTTACTTAAAATCTTGAGATTTGCATCGTTTTTCTCTAATATAAATGTGGTCATCTTTGCCCCCCTATGAATTAGGGCTGCTCGATTATTTGGGTCAATAATTGATATCACGATTATCCATTTACTTTGAAAACATCCATTTATTGAAAAAATAAATGTGACCAGTATGTTTTTAACAGTTGATTACCCTGAACTTTAAGTATAATTCAACTGAAAAAACCAATAAAAAAAAAAAATCGTTTTATTTCGATTATGTTGTTTTCATAATCGTTGCAAGCCAAATCGTAATTGCGATTAAATACGATGAATTGAGCAGCCCTACTGTGAATGCTATTTTTATGGTTAAATATCTTCAGACATATAACTCCTAGAGGCATGACATGTGGTTGGCACACAGACAAAATGGCAAAAGCAGATGCAATATTTTAATTACTAGCCCTTGAAAAATGGGAAAAATGCAATATTTGGTTGTCTTGGGCCCACTGGTAGTCCCACTGGTAGTCCCACTGGTAGTCCCACTGGTAGTCCCACTGGTAGTCCCACTGGTAGTCCCACTTTTCCATATTTTCAGCTAAAATCACTTTATTTGATTGATGTTGTTGTATCAAATGTAAGGGGCAAAAGCGTAAAACAGAATCCAATATATGGCAAGTATGACTGACCAAGGTTCAATTCGTTGCCTGTTTTAATGCCAAAATGACTAATTCCTAGAACCATGAATGAGTCTAACTTCATAAAGTTCTTTCCAAGTTGTCTTCATTTTTAAATGTAACAATAGATTGAGGCTTATGCTTGTTTCTGGGCTTGAAAATAAGTGCAAAAATATAGTTTGACACCTTTGCAAACCGACTGGACATGAGTCAAATCCTAATATCCACTTCAAGAAATCTTCAAGCAAGCATTAGAAAGAGTTGAAGTGTCCAGACAGGCGATAGGAGTAAGAATAAACTCCAAACTAAGGAGAGACAAAAACCCCCTCCTCTAGTATTCCCTTCTGTCTCTGTTGAATTCTTTAAGGGTTGTCAACAAACTGTGCCGAAGGCTCGATGCAAAGCACTCTGTTGTAATTCGATGTCTGGCTGCTTTCCAGGGATCAGCCAGAGCAGGATCTCCCATTGGCTGCTGCAGCACGGCTCCGACCTGAGCGAGCAGAAGAAGAGGGCCTTCTACCGCTGGTACACGCTGGAGAAAACCACTCCAGGTACACCAGAGTCTGTGAACCTGCACTGCTCACTCCTGACTGTTGGTTTGGCTTACTGAAGGAATGTGCTTTCAAATGAGACGGAGGGAGAGGCATGCAGGAGGTGTTAGGACACAAATGGATACATAGAATTAAAAAACAAAAGGTAGAATTTACAATAGAGCTGTGCAGGAATGAGTCCTTAATCTCAGTAATGAGTTAGCATCTTACCACTTCCAGTTCAAGTCAATGGTTTTTCAAAAAACCTGAATTATCACAGTCCGAATCAGGTTTATGGCCAAGTAGGTTTACACATATTTTGCCACTTTGCTTTGCTTTCTAATGGTCACAGTAGGGTTAATAAACACAGTAAGAGGAATTAAGTAAAAAAAAAAAAAAGAACAAATATAGAACTATGATAACAAATATTTAACCAGTGGGCAAAAGTCTGTCAAGTGATTTAAAAAAAAACAATTGTATAATACAAATGCTCCCTTTTGATATTGTGTTCACTGCTTGTGCCATGTGCTCCTATAATGTACAGTTTTTAGTTAGTGAGGCTTTTCTTAGTAAATATTAATATATGTGATTGATTCATATTATTTATAACAAAGCATGTCATTTATTGGAATATTTTTCCCAAAATCTTGCCATCCCTACTTTTATATCTATCTGTCAACAAGAGTTCACATGTGCAGGGAACAAGTGTAACTTTAGTTTTGTCTTGAAGGAGTTCTAATGTTGGCTTTGGCTCAGTTGAGAAGGACACAGTCACAGATAAATCCACACCTCTGAATGGTTAACATCCAGAACACCAGGCCTCATGCAGGCTTCAGTTGTGCCTGTACATATGTATGCTCTGTTTCAGCCTATAGCAGACAGCAGACATCCCACGCCTCGTCCTCTGCGGCACGCTCCTCATGGAGCCCTGCCAACAGCACAGTGGAAACGGCTTCCTGCTATTTCTGTCCAGACGGAGCCCAGCCCAACACACACACAACACACACACACACACACACACACACACACACACACACACACACACACACACACACACACACACACACACACACACACACACACACACACACACACACACACACACACACACACACACCACACACACACACACACACACACACACACACACACACACACACACACACACACACACACACACACACACACACACACACACACACACACACACACACACACACTCCATCACCGCTGCAGAGATAGTGATGACCCGCTCATCCTGGTCTGATAACCCGCCCTGTTGCTGGGCGACCCAGTTAGGACTGGTTCACAATGTGTGTGTCAGATGTGGTTATGATACTGAGGCATACGGTTAGCAAGAACGTGGCTTATTTAATGAGTTTTACTGCAAATTAAACCTTTTGTGATTCTTTTCTTTTTCTGCTGTGGTCATGATTTGGGACGAGGCAGCGCGGTCTTTGTCAGCACTATCCACTCCAGTTTATAATCAGAATGTAATGTATTGTAAGATTTGCAAAAGTGCTTTCTCACATGCATTTTCTTAAAAGGATGTGCTGCAGTTTATCTGTAAAAACCGCCAATTCACACATTATTATTCCCAGACTTCAAGTGGCAAAAACACACCACAGACTTCATGTTCCTGAGGCTGATTGTGGCGGAACGCTCAGTTGTAACATCCCCCCCCCCCCCCCCACCGCCCCCCCGCAGGTGCCACTCTGAACATGCGGCCTGCTCCTTTACCTCTGGAGGATATGGAGTGGAGGCAGACCCCACCCCCCATCAGCACAGCCCCCGGAACCTTCCGCCTGCGCAGAGGAAGCCGCTTCACCTGGAGGAAAGAGTGCCTGGCCGTGATGGAGAGGTGAGCGCAGGAAGAAGTGGATGAAAGATTACATTCATAACTTCTCCCTTATTTCCACATGGAGTTGAGGAAATATTGCAACCTGTGCAAGGAAACGTCTAGACAACCAGCGTGTGACTCTTCATACTCTCAGCTTTGGCGATCTTCTACAGCATACATAAATCCAGTTCGTTGACATCGTCCTTGTGTCAGGAAATTAATTGAATCAGTGCGTCTCTTTGTCTATTTATAGCTACTTCAACGACAACCAGTACCCGGATGAGGCCAAACGGGAGGAGATAGCCAACGCCTGCAATGCTGTTATTCAGAAGCCAGGTGAAGCTCCATAACAGCTGTGTGTGCGTGTGTGTGAATAATATATTAGTTTCTTCTTTGTTTCATGTTTACTCCACTCAGAGATGTTTGCAAAAAATCCTGTTTACGTTAGTATAATGAGAATATTGTTTATTCTATTCTATTTGCTGGTGACTAATATTCCTATTCGTTTTGCAAATGTTTGGAATATTACCATGGAAATAGTCCCGAACAACCTTTGTATCCTGTCAGCCATGCATATTTTATACATTTCATTTGTTAGAAATACACAAGTGTTTTTGGAAAAATGCTCATTTCCCCTGTTGCATTTCACCAAATGTAATAAGTGCTCTCTTAAGACCACATCATTTTGCATATGATCTTTCTTGGACTCAATGTGTACTTTAAAGCCAAAACATCTGTGTTGCATATATTGTGTGATATCAAATGGCAAAAAGTGATTTTCTTTTAACGGATTTAAAACCCTTATTGGGTATGAAACATCCAATTGATATAAGCAGAAATAAAAGTGGTATTCACAGCTTGAGGGACAAGATGGATAACAACAGGGCCCAAAGAATAGTGTAACAACCTCAGTGTGAGTGAGGAAGTGATCCGAGTGTCCTGTGGTCTGTTTCAGGGAAGAAGCTGTCTGATCTGGAGAGGGTCACCTCCCTGAAAGTTTACAACTGGTTCGCCAACCGCCGCAAAGAGATCAAGAGACGGGCCAACATTGGTAATGTGACTGGGGGGGTGGGGGTGTTAGATGAGAAACACCTGTATAAGATTTCTCATTTTCTCATGCGTGAATGGCTCATAATTCATTCATTTAGTCACTTTAAAGAGCTCAATGTTTGTTCATCAGTCACCGGATATCTGTAATGACCTTTGCTTCATTTATGTGTTTGCTTACGGCCTGCATTAACATTGATGTATTTTGGACTTGTTAAAGTTATTAACCTGCTAGTCCAATGACAATTTATCCATAACTTCCATATTTACATAATACTAACATTTTGACCACTTTACTATGACTTTGTGCTTAATATTATCACCATTTATCCATATTTATTTATATATCCAAACCATTTTACCTTTACTTTTAGCTTTCAATTTGAAGAGTTTATCCATTCCATGTTAGCTATTTATTGGAACTACTTTTCATGCATGTGGGAGAGAAACTCCTTCTGGAGGGATTTTAGCCCCTGCAGACCATTTACATGCACACTAACCTAAATACCAAACTACAGGTAAGGAAAACCCCCCCAAAGCACAATAGGGCTTCTTTAAATATATATTCAAAGTAATAGAGATTGAGTGTATGGCAGCGCTGTTCTATTGAATGACTATAGATTTGACACTTTTAGCATTTAGATACTCCACAATCCAACCATGTACCCCCGGTTGGGAAGTCAAAGTAGAAGTATCTAAATCTATATATTTGTAATGAACGATACTTTCAGTGATCAATCATAAGTCTAACAATTCATCCTCTTCCTCCAAGAAGCCACAATCCTGGAGAGTCATGGAATAGACGTCCAGAGTCCGGGGGGGCACTCCAACAGCGACGACGTCGACGGAAACGACTTATCAGAGCAGGTAGAGCGTGATAATGGATCCCCAAAGACGCATACAACCAGATTTATGATCCAGACAATAGTTAACAACTGATTCAAGAGAAAGAGGTCACTTGTTTTACAGCTCCATCGTGTCATTTTTTTGTTGTACAAAGTCTGATTATTCCTTATTCATTTATATATGTATTCCTCTGTTTTGATGGATTTGCCACTTGCTAACCACCCACATCCATCCTTCCACACCTAAGGCTCATTCTAGTGATCATTCATTCAGTCATTAGTTATACGTGATCATGCATTTCACATCTTTATACCGCTAACTTAGCTGATTAGTGGCCCTGTCTTTGGTTGAAGTTGTTTTTAATATGTAAAGGTTGTCTGGATCCTGTTCTCAAATTCTCTCAAAAAAGAGAAACTTAAAAAAAAACGTAACTGCAGTTTTCCTGCGTTTAAACTCTGAATTCTCCTCCCCCAAATATAAAAAGCACTTTTATTTTTGTGAGGAATTATAGCTTAAAATGGTTGGCCCAAGGCGTATTCATTAACAAAAGCTTGCCCTTCTTCTCATTTTTGATGGTAACCATTTGAGAAAGACGTCATTCAGAATATTTGGAATGGTTCCTCTAATAAACTTGGGTTTGTAAGATCTAAACCGAGCTACATTTCTTCTTTTTCTTTTTCCCCCTCCAGGCATTTGACCTGCCCTATTTTGACAAGAGACCTCTCAGCCGACCTTTTGGCCTTTACCGCCTGGAGCCCACCTCGCCTACACAGGTACCTCCAAAACAATCTGGTTCTCTTTAACCTGGGTTTAAATGTTTTCAGTTATGCTATGCTAACCTCTTTTGATTAGCATTTTAGAAATGATGCTGAATATCCTAGTGACGGCAGTAATAGGGAGCACTGCTCTCAAGTGTATTCCAAAAAGAGGGTGGGGGAATCACACAGAGGTTAGAGCTGTCCCTCTCCCACCATTCGTCTCTGATTTTCTTTAAAGAGCTGTCAGAAAACAATTTGGTTTTGTAAAGCCTGAATGAATACACCATTCACTACAGCCTCATACACACTTCAACATGTAGAAATCTAAAGCTTTAAAGGCCTGACATGCCCAGTGACAGTTGCTAAGCTGGAGGGACTTGGTAGAGAACAGTTGGTCAGGAAAATGAATTTTATGTACAAAAGTATAATTCCTGCTTTCTGTTCACCACTGACCTTGGTCTTACTGTCCCCCCCCCCCCCCCGTATCAGGAGGACGGCGCGGCGCACATCGAGCACCAGGACCCCATCTCTCTGGCTGTGGAGATGGCTGCTGTCAACCACACCATCCTGGCCCTGTCCAGAACCGGGGGGGTCCCAAACGACATCAAGACGGAGTCCCTGGAGGACGAATGAACTGCACAGGAAACAGAACGGAGGAAGTGGAAGAGAAATGACAGTCAAAGAAAGGAGGAGAAAAAACAGGGAGATAAAAAAAGAAAAAAGACCAAACTAATGCTACTTAGTAAATCTGGATCTGCCCCTCCCTCTCAGCTTCCCACCTCCAACAAAGTCAGTGTAAACAGTAATCCCCCCTCCCTACCCATATATTGACACAGCTGGTGAGAATGGGTCTCTTAAAGTTTCCACGGAAAGAAGATAGAGGGGGGCACCCAGGCCTCCAACCCCTAAATCGGTGGCCCTCGTCTGGGATTGTACCTCCCTCCTCCCCTCACAAGATACCTCTCCTCTTTACTCCCCCGTGCTTCCCTTTCCAGCCTGGTCGTCTGAGCCGATCCTCACTCTATATCACCTCAGCGTCAACCTCAAGAAAAAAGAAATGGTGTACTATATATATAATATATATATATATGGTTCTCAGTCACACTCTACCTACCTGCGTAACCCTCAAATGATCCTCTTCATTGTGCAGTTCATCGGAAGAGCGACCTCCAGCAGCTGTCTGGGGAAAGATGGAGGGTGAGAGTTTCCTCTCCCCCTCTGGAAGGATAATCAGAAGTCGCTGTCTTATATCCTCATTTCTTAGTGGAGTGGCTTTTTACATGAGCCGCTGTTGGATGAAAACCTCTAAAAAGAAGTAGCCTTATTTTCATACAGGAAACTACACCTTTACTTTTTGCAGTATACACCTCGTTTTTTTCCTGAAACTACCACAAACTTTTTTAGTATGCATACAAAATGTAAAGGTTTATATCCAACAGCAGCAGTGGTTTCTCTCACCTGCATTTATTTGACGACAGGATCTACAATCATTTAGCCTCCCAGTGACACTCCTGTTCAGTACTCGAGGCTATGATCATTATTTTAGGGTCAATGTGATAATCAAGCAATGGTAAGCTATCTAATAAGGGGAACTGTGCTTTGTTTTCATCCATGCCAAAGGAAAAGATGCTTGGAGCTCAAAGCTTAAAGGTTAAGCTACTGTAAGACCGATCTAAAATGGTGTTCATCCAAAGCGATTTCTGCTAACTCCTCTGGCGTACGAAGGTTGTTTCATAGCTCGGTGAAGCCTCTGGAGCTAGCGCTACGTGGTTCTGACACTACAGCAGGCCTGTGTCGGGAAAGAAAGGTATTAGCAGCCACACATCTAATGATAAAATACCCCTAAGCTATTTACTACTTGTTCTGTGAAGCTGCCTCTTTATTATAGCAGAAAGAATGTGCTTTCAGAGGATTTCTTTAAAATATCCAATTAGACTAAATCCTCACTGGAAATGGTTTAGAATATCAGAAGAGGCCATTTAAGTTTGTATTTAAAGGTAGGGTAGGTAAGAATTGAGAAACCAGCTCGAGTGCGCTAGAATTTGAAAGTACACAACCGAAACAAATCTGCCCCTTCCTTCAGACTTCCTTACAGAGCCCCTCCTCCAACACACACGAACGTGCACACGACCAATGAGGGCACGAGATAAGTTTGTGCACAAGATGGAAGGCTGACAGGCAGGTAGGCCATCCAGTTATTTGTCCCAGATAATTGGATGTGCTTTTTACAGCGCCACGGCTTCCACAGATGAAATATTTGTATATATATTGTCAAAGCATTTAATGTATTCATTGCTATCGGATGTGAAGAGCATTCCATGGAACATAACAAAAAGTGTTTCTGAAGTGAATTACCTACCCCACCTTTAATCTATATAGCCTCAAAGGCAAAAGCACCACTTCAAGGGAAGAGAATCAAAGATGTATAAAGTGGTTGTATTGGAAATACATTTTCCACTTTTTTGCTCCGGGTTGAAGTTTTCCAAAACCATCAATGTACCAAGATAATCATAATGTAATAAGCAGAGACAAAATGTTGACTTTCGTAAGGCTAACGTTTCTTGGTGCTCACTTAATGTCAAGTTTAAGCTCTTTTTATAGTCAAAGACTGATATCTGATGAAATGAAACGATTAAAATAATAGGTTGAGCAGAATTAAATGTGAGGATTGATACTGCCCTCATGTCTGTACGCTAAACATGAAACTGAAGCCAGTAGACCGTTAGCTTAGCTTAGCCTAGCATGAAGGCTGCTCAGATGTGCTATAGCTAGCAGTCTTCATGCTAGGATAAGCTAAAGATCACTGCTAGGCTAGGCTAAAGCTCATGATTTCACCCAGTTGATTTTGTCTTACTAAAGCCATACAAAAATATAAGTCAAAACAAGTTGTGGTGTTACAGATGGGTACACACGGAAACAACTTTTTATACTTTTACTGGAGATATAACGAGTGTTTAAAGAAAGATATGGTCGCTTTTGAACAGAGCCAAGTTAGCCAGTTTCTTTGCTAGACTAAGCTAATTTATCTAAAGATAGATAGATTAGCTTTCTCTATTTAGCGTCATATTTAGCGTACAGCCCAGCCAGTTTTTAACAAGGTAAATGTCAATCTGTTTGTTTAAAGGAACCCATGCCTTAGTGATGGTTTTGGAGAACTGGGGAAATATTCTACTTTGCGGGATTAAACTAAGCAGTTCGCTAGTTATACGCTCATGTAATATTATGTTTAAATCAAATATGGACGTTAATTCTTTTAAATAATCTAGTATCTGGATCCTGCTTGTAGAATATCTCCCAGCCCTAGGCTGTAGTCTAGTAAAGCTCTATTTAAATTATCGCTTCTCTATGTAGGCTACGAAGCAGCGATTACAGTGACTTGGTACTAGGAACTGTGTTTCAAAAAGAAAGGGTTGAAAGACAAAACAATATGTATTTATACTCATTTTTTATGGTAATGTACAAAAAAGAATGACATGTGTTTTAAATTGAAACATGCTGATATTGTTAAGCTCATCATGCATTTTAATTTCTCCTGAATAATGTTTTCCATAATCATTTAAATGTTTTATTTTGTATCATCCCTTATTTGACTGAACAACAGTCTCCCTGTTTGTGTCTGAGCTAGTAAGCTATTTTCTGAAAGATGAAAAACGATGCACCTTATTTAAAAAAAGAATCGCCGTTAATGAAAGTTAAAATGTAACCTTCCCTTCCATGAGCCTTCCTTTTACAATGTCAAATGTCCGATACATTAATATGGGGCTGTTGTGAAAAACATTTCTTTACAGCTGCTCCACACCTTGTACTAAATCACAGTTTGTGCTGTTTTCACTTGAAATCAACGCCACACCAAACTCCATTAGGAAATGTAGTGTTTTAATCTTTCTCTGGCAAAGTGTGATTAATACAAATTAATTAGAGAAATAAATACATTTCAAATGTATGTTTTAGGTTATCCAAAACGTTTATGAAATTTGCTTCCTATAACTAAATTGCGTTGCCCTCACCATTTCACATAGAGCGTTATCATTGAGACATGACCATGTTGTCGCAGGCGATTGGGATTGCTTAAACGCTAAATGGGCAGTACAATATAGGTTTGTACACAACGCACTACAAATAAATATGTCCTGTAGATCTAAGTGATACTCAAACGGTGAAACGGTTGTTTGAAAAATCAAAAGGACAGGCTTACATGCGGATAGATATTGCTTCCCTTTTTTTCCCCATGAAATAAAACAAAACTGTTTGTTATGCGATTCAGCAAAATGTGTTCCAAATATTTGGAATCACTACCAAAAACTAGATTTTGACTAGAAAAGTGCACAAAGTACAGTATGCTGGGTGTGTCTATGCTCGACCACTGCTGTCATTTATTGCTAGATTGAATACAAACCACAATTGTCTTAACTTGAAACTCTGGACAAGAACTGTCCCTAATTCCTAGATCAATATTCTAAACTGAAGCAGTTGTTGATCGATTGCAAACCTCTAAGAGGAGTCAATGATGGCCCATAAAGTACAGTTCTCAAAGATGGTTAAGTCCTTGAATATATGTAGTCATAAATTAGCACAAAATATGAGGCTGATGGCTGCAGTAGCATGCGAGATTAGCTGCAGAAAGTCATACAAACACCCGAATGGTAAAGCCTGCAGATAGTAGGTAAGCTGGTACTGTATCTGGACTCTTTAATTAACCTTTTTCTCTATGGAGTTTGGTGTGACACTCTCTCCATATGAATAATATTGAGTGTCTGAAATAAGTTGTGTGTGGGAGGAAAAGACTACATAGTGCATTTAGAGATTATTCTCTCACTATAAGACACTTTTCAATGAGATGCCTTAGTGTTTGAAAGATGCCATGGCCTAATTAGCGAGTACAAGTTGTAATCCAGCAGTATTTTATGTGAGCGTTGAAGCCTGACAGAAATGTTTATGGGACGGAAGAAAGAACCCTCAGGTGCTTAGGAAGATTTTGTGCTTTTCCACGAGAAAAATGGAAGCAGATGAATCTTTAATTACATACTGAAATCTGAAAGGGGCTTTCTCCAACCTAATGTCCTGTGTTCTCCGGTGGTAGTGCTTTTACTTTGAAAGGGTCTCCTCGTGCCGGGGTCAACACGTCTACATGTCCCTCTGTGTTCCCAGTGAAACACCACCCACCTCATCCCAGTAGAGCTCTGCTAAGAGGACTGAATGCTGTTGTATCAAGCTCAAATCTAGTTATGTTCAGAATTACTGTATTGCCCATTTCAGAATTTAGTGCCTTTTTTGGACAGTAGACTGTTCTGTAATTAAGATGTAGTATATATACATTTTTTTGTACAGTTTCTTTGTTCATTTTTTTAACTTGTGTTTATTTTAGTATGATATATATATAATGTACAAGAGAATAAAGCTATATCAATGAGACTTTCTGTGTTGCTATCTGATTAGGTACAATAGGTTCGTCACACATTGGTTGATAAGGGCACAATTCAGTTTATTCAACAATATAAAAGTCGATTTCGCTTTTAGCATCAATTGTATGTCTTCATTTTTAAATAAATAATCTTTCAGGCATAATATAACATATTGTACTTACCCAAAACAATTAATACTCTGCGTTCAACAAAATCCCTCAAGTATTCCCATACACACATTGTAATTAAAAACGTACTAGTCTAAAATAAATCCCAAAAAACTGGCACACATCTCCGTTCAAAATGAAGCCACTTTCATTCGATCGACACACTTAGAGAAAAAAAGGATTAAAATTGTTGCACATTTTCAGTAGAATTGTTTAAAAGGGAGTGCAAGTATTCTTTGTTCTAAAACAGTAGAAATACACATTCAAGAGCTGTAATAAGCTCTGGTTTGACAGTTTCCAACCAATCGGCACTGGTGATTTAACACTAAGGCACATAGGCATCATAGTAGTCGTAATATTTCAAGGCACAAGAATTAAAAAAAGAAAAACCAATAGGTATAAAACCATGTGCAACACTTTGAAGTCCATCCAAACATGCAGCTGCATAATGAGTCTTGAACAGTAGAAATGTGAGCACATGAAGAAGTAGTGTTACCTGGAGTCTTACAGTAATCCAGTGAACTTTGGATACATTTAACCATATTTGCAATGCCAGGCATGTGGCAAAACATATGGAATGGAAAACTGCTGATTCTGAGCTGGGACTCAAATTAATCCATTCAGGTGAGACAGCCATGATTACAAATTATTATAATTGCATAGAAAAGGTTGTTACTGGAATCTACATACCTAAACACATTCAAATTGTCTGATAAAATATATCCATTAAACCATAAAACAAGTCCATTGGCTAGGATAGTCTTTCAATAGATGAACCATTCAAATCTGATGAGGGGTCACATGCCTACACTTAAACAACCATCTGCTGCATGTGGGGGTCCAGCATCAAGCCGTTTGGCAGGTTTAGAACCTCCTAAGTGTTCCACGACTTGCGGTTCTCTCCCCTGCTGCGGCCGGCTGATGCCACCCCCCCTTCGCCTTTAGCCAACGCGGTGAGGGCTGCCAGGTTTGGGCTGGATCCGGACAGGTTGGCACTGCGGCGCTTCTGCTGTTGGCGGCGGCGCTTGCTGGCACCCCGGCTGACCCTGTGCGGCCTAACCAGCACGCCGTAACCAGGGTTACAGTGGAAGTAGTGTTTGCCGCCCACTGAACCGTCATTTTTTCCTGGAGAAAGAGAGAAAAAGGCTTGTTGGGGATTCTAAGTGGTGATCGTGGCTACATTTCAACTTCATGTTATGGAACGGCTCTACCGATTTCGTTTTGGCTTTCCAATGGCAAAAGTTGTCATTAGTAACCGTTACTTTATTTGTATCACCTTGGTTGAGACTCCAAAAGTTCTGACAAGATAATGGAGAGTTCAATTCTGCAATTTGATCAAGAGGTCCCTAGCACACCTAGAAAACCGACATTTTTAAATAGCCAATATACCGTCAATATCGGCCTTATTATTTTTGTATTCACCTAATGGAGACTAAAAACATGGCCGCCGGCAAACTACGCAAAGCAAAGTGCGAGCATACACTTTAGCATAGTCAGCTGATCCTTTCCACTATACGCAGTGGATAACGAAATAGAGAATCAGACCTGCTACGAAATGTGGTCGACTCAATCTGAGCAATACCAGGCAGTGGAAACACAGCGTAAGTATAATACATGTATAGATTTCAATAAGGTCATTTACAATGATCCAGAAAGAAACAAGTTGGGTGCTGTTCTACTCACCTGCCGGTACCTCCAGTTCCACTCCCACCCAGGTTCCCACTGCGAAATCTGTGGGTCCAAGGTAGCGCACGGTGCCGTTCTTATTGTTCCCCACGGTCACAAACTCCCCTTCTTTCAACCAGTCAGGAAGAACTGCCGTTGCATCTCCTTCCTCGGAGTCTGAGATGATTTCCAGGGTTTCCATGGGCACAGAGAGGTTTAGTCCTGCTCCGAGACTGTTGGCCCGGTCCATCTGCCCAAGCTGATCCTCCTCCTCTCCCACAATACGCTGAAAGGACTTGAGGTCTGAAGATTTCACTTTCTTGATCTTGAAGGGGTTTGCAACTGCGGTGTCAGGTTTGGAAGGCTGAACGCTGGACAGAGAATCTGCTGAGGAAGTTTTATTGGACGCATCGACAGGTTCTTCCTCTTGGACGTCATCTGTGGTTGAGGATGAAGTCGGGACGGAGCTGTGTTTTAGGTTTGAGGCCTCAGTGGTGGCTTGTTCTTGGGATGAGGCGGAAAACAAATCTTCTGATAAGGCAGGAGCTGAAACCAGGACTTCTGGAACAGCTGGGACCAGGTATTCGATTGGATCTTGGACACTGTCGCAGGTCGTTTGGTCTTGGACGGCTGGTTCAGACGGACTCTTTTGTGCAGATTGTTGTGTTTCATGCTGGGGTGACAGTTCTTGGGAGGATGCAAGAAGAACCGAATCTCCTGATGAGGCAGGAACTGGAACCAGGACTTCTGACACAGCTGGGACCAGGATTTTGGTTGGATCTTGGACACTGTTGCAGGTCGTTTGGTCTTGGACGGCTGGTTCAGACGGACTCTTTTGTGCAGATTGTTGTGTTTCATGGTGGGGTGACAGTTCTTGGGATGAAGCAAGAAGAACCAAATCTTCTGATGAGGCAGGAACTGGAACCAGGACTTCTGACACAGCTGGGACCAGTTTTGGTGTTGGATCTTCAGAAGTGTCGCAGGTTGTTTGGTCTTGGACAATTGTTTCAGACTGACCTTCTGGTGCAGATGGTTGTGTTTCATGGTGGAGTGACAGTTCAGCTTCTGTCTCGTCGGTGGCAGCTAACTGGAGTTCTTCTGTTGAAGGAGCTTCTGGTTTTGGGTCTTCCGTTTGTGGAATTTCTGTCTGTTTTGTTTCATTCTCTTCTACTAGCATTGAATCTTCAAGTGGCTCAAAATGGTCTAATTGTTCTGATGCAACATTGTTAACTGTTGACTCTTGTAATAAGTGTGATTCTACAACTGAATCAGACTCATTTTGCTCCTGGACCGATGGAGACTCATTTGGTTCTTGTTGACTCAGGTTTGAATCTGACAGAGTAACGTCTGGTTTGGACGGTGGAGAGTCAGGCCTCTCTTCAGCTGCCTCATGGGCCAACACCAGAAATGACTCCTGAGGCTCTGATTGATCCTCACGAAAGATTGTCTCAGGGTAAGGGTTGTAATGTGTCACTCCATCGTCTTCATCCTCTTCATCTGGCAGCTCCTCCATGACGTCAGAGGGAGGCAGGTCCCAGCTCAGGGTGTAGACATCTAGCATTGCTGTAGACATGCTTGTTGAAATGTACCCGCTCGATGATTCGCTGGTCGGGCTGGGGAGGGAGTCTTCTGTCTCCGGGATGATTGGCGGTGGGAGGGGCTTGGATCTGGGGCTCTCTGTTTGGAGGTCAGGAATGATTGCCTCAATGGGAACCTAAGGGAAACCATGAGTTTAATAAAATCAACTTCCCATCGATTAAATCCCACAAACACAATGTAGAATTTATTGAAATCCTAAAGACATAATAATTAGAATGCAATAAATAAATAATGTAGCCGTATAATATTCATTGTAAATGTTAAATCTTAAAAACAGCCAGGTTGGTGTTGTTTCTGTAGGATCCATTGTTGAAACAGATCGATGCAGAGGAATATGGTTGAGAAAAGTGTTTCTATGGAGGCCCATAGGGGACTTTTAAAAACATCATTTAACCTTGAAAATAGAACTGTAAATCTTCCACAAATGTTCCACATAATTGTGTTCTTTGAGTAAACATAAAAAGGCAGTAATCCAAATTGTCATTTTAACAACTTGTATTCTATGACCGTATTCAAATGAAAACAGAGAAGCTGTTATTTTTCAAAGTATCCTGTATAGTGGATAATATTCAAGTGTTGTTTCAATCTTAAAAATTAAAATGCAATACAAACAAAGTACTGGTTTGAAAATTAATTGTCCAACAGCTTTTTATATTTTCATTTCAATAGGGCAGGGGTGTCCAAACGATGGTCCGGGGTCCAAATGCGGCCCGTGTTCCATTTTGAATTGGCCCGCATCACCCCAAAAGTATGGAACATGGCCCACACATGAAACTTGTGCTTGTATTGTATTGTATTGTACTTCTTAAATATGTATGTAAACATTTATTACCCAGTAGCATTCATGTGTTAATAAGCCCACTTTTCAAATAAATTCCGTCAATTTAAGTGGAAAAAATGTGCTAACAAATCTTAGTTGATAAAAAAAGCCCAATAACTTATTTATATATCAAGCTCGAAATATATATATTTGTATTTCCCCTTATAGCAATCTGAGGCGTCTGTTTTAAGGAATTTGCTGCCACAGTTTATGTAACAAAATAAATGAAACCCTATTAATTGAGAGCTGTGATGTACGCTGTTTGCTTTACCTACATTTGATTGATTTAGCTAACTTATAACTTCACTCATGAGGCAATATACCTCACCTCTAGATAGTGGCCCAGACCTTAGTATGTTTTTCTGTATGTGACCCTAAGTGAAACAAATTCGGACACCCGTGTAATAGGGTCATAGAAAGCACATACAAGTATTTGAAAAGGAACATTGATTGCTATTGCCTCACCCTGCATCTAATGTACATACAGATATAACACCATCTGGGGTTGTAGAACTTACCGGCTGCTGGTGTTTGCTCATGCCCTCTTCAACACTGGCTGACTGCACCATGATGCGAGGCAAACTCTGCGTCAGGAAGGGAATAGAAGATGTTCAGTGAATGTCATTTTAAATTAAGCAATGTTAAATCTGTAAATCAGTGCAGAAAGCTTGTCAAGCAGACTTCAAGATGTAATCATGAGCAAGTCGGTGTCATTTGAGTCCGCTTCCGCCTGGAGATTAGATATGAATACAAGCCAAACCTGTTCATTATTATACAGTGTGCATCAAGTGGTGATTAGCTGCTGCGAGGGAATTACAAAGCTTCAGCATGGAGACAGAAGCAGAGCCTGTGGGGGAAAAACTAATCTGTGATTGTAAAGAGAGGACAGATCTGTAGGCTGAACATGGTGCTGTACTGCCTTCTCTGGACACCTCACAGAGAACTAACTAGGCCACTTAACCATCTGTGACAATATAAGACTGCACATGTGTGTTTATATGACAAATGATCAGAATAGAACATTCATATTGAATGTATTGTTGTGATCGACAGTCAAGATGTTGATATGAGGCTTAAAGTAAATATTTGTTCATCAGATGACTCAGACAGACAATCATGATAAACTGGTAAAACAATCAGGATAATAGCAGCTTAATTATAATTGCTCCCACAATCATTTATCCCTATTCAGTATTCTAGTAACATCTTTAACTTGATTCCATTTTGTTTAAAATATTTTGTCTGTTTGCTTTTTACAATTTTCTCCAGTTTTTGAAGAGGTTTATACATTTTTTAATAATGAAGGATTGTTAATAAATCAAGACAATTGTTCCACTGTGTGCTCAACGGAACCAGTCAGAGGATATGAATCCAGATGATTGTTTGACTCTCATGCCTCTCTAATATCAGACTCATTTTTCCAACTCTCATAATCAAAATTGAAGAGGTTTGATTTGGGTCTATTGTACTTTGATGAGGACCACCTACATGGACAACATGTCTACCATCAGAGAGCATGTCAAACACAGCTATCCTATCCCTCTCTGGATCAGGACAGAACACCTGCAAGGCAACAACACATCAGGTGCACAACAAAGGCTGCCTCTTGCATAGTCATTGTTAAATAGACGTCACATTGTGTTTATATTCAAAAGATTAAAAAGGGTCATGACATGAAGACGCACTTGACACTTGTGTATCAGTCAGATTTGAAGTAAAGGGACAGTTGACCCCAACACTTGTTCGTGTAGTGCACAGGAGAAGGAGACTCCCACAGGCTGGGATTTGCCTGGGAACTGTAAAGGCATCAACAACAAGCCACCCAGATCCATGATATCAGGGAGAAGGAGAACATCTATTGGCTGATAACACGATTTAGAGTCTTTTGGGGGCGTGTCCAAGTCAGTTTTCAAGTCTTCTTAAAGCAAGGGTGTTTCTCAATCTCGAGTACGCTTGCTTGGTAGCACCTGTCTGCCGAGCATCTTGCTTCAGAAGCGAGTCAAGAATACTTCCTGGCATTCGGAAAACGAAGAGTGGAACAGGCTAGCAAGTGTGCAGGTGTGCGTCATATGAGAGGCCCCGCCTTACATCTTCCGCCACAGATTTGGGGAAATTGGTCCGTGCGCAAAGCATTGTGGGGATTTTAAGACCGCGAAGTCTACTCATGTGCAGCCTCGATATTTCTCCAAACGGAGTACGCCGGGCTCGGTAGATTTCCAAGTATGCTGGAGATTGGAACAGTACTTCGGCGGCACTCGATGACGTAGTATGCTTGAAATAGTGGCTCTGGAGCAGCTTTACTCGCGATTGAGAAACACCCCAAGTCTCAAGTTCTCGAGGGCAAGTCACATTACTATTCCTTATATATCCACTTTAGTGATTGTTTTTCAGCCACAGTTACAATCAACCACTCTTCCAATTGACACACACCTCAACACACAGCCTGCTAATATTTGCATAACTCCAGGCTTTTGTTTCTGTGTTGAGCTTTCTAAACATCTGTGGCAGGCATGTCGGAGTGGAGCAGTAATTAGAGCGATGGCCTCAAACGCTGCACCAACAAGCCCCGGAGGTTTCCATCCCCACCACGGCACATGATCTCCGTGATGAGCCCCCCCTCCTCCGCTCACGGTGCTAATCAGTCCAATCAGAGGCTGTAGTGTTCGGCTGCGATGAAAAGCTGCAGACTCCCGGGTCTCGATGGCACATGATTGGAGATCAGTGAATGCAGAGGTGGTGAAGGGGGGGGGGGGTTCACCTGCTCCTAATTAACCCTCCTCTACACACACTATGCTGCTGTTGTCTCGGTAGGGGCTGTTTGTGAAGCGTCTGCTCTGATCACAAACATTAAACAGCACATCAATCAACATCGTTTGTAGCGTATGTGATGATGCTTTCAGTTGTAACCCCCCGGGGGGCTGCAGTGATGTGTGTGTGTGTCAGGAATCAGAATGACAGATAGGATTATTCCTAAATCAAAGCCTGGATTAGTTTAGGTTAATGGAACATTTCAACTGTGTTTTTCTGTAAAAGAGTCAAAACACATCAATGTTTAATGCTGTTAGTGAAAATAATTGTATTTAATTATTGTAATAATAATAATGATATTACTTCAAACTAGCATTTTCAGATGGTTTCTTTCTTTATGTGGACTGTTCCATTTGTTACCAGTTTCCTAAAACTCGTAAATAATAATGTAACTTAAAGATCAAAACAGATAATCAATAGATCAGTCATATCAAAAAAATATGTTTTACAATCTTATTTTAACCAAACAATGGGTATAAGGTTGTCTTTATTTTGCAAATTAAAAGCAGGAAGTGATATAGCTCTTCCATGCAGCAACCTACAGTATAGACTAGAGGGTCTGAAAAGTGAACCTAATGAGAAGTGCCTGTATTCTGTCAAATGTCCAGCAGGGGCAGACTGGTTGCAAAAAAGTCAGATTGTATAGACGTCTATGAGAAAATGACCCAATTTCTCACTTACCTACTGTAGGTAAATATTTACCTAAAAAGTTGAGGGTCTCATTTGCTAGTTTCAAGCCTTTTAAAGCCCTTTTCTAACTTGTGATGAACAGGTTGCTAACAAGTCTTTGGTCTTGACCATGTTTTTGTCTTGGAACTTTAACCCTTAATTATAATGTGTTTTAAGTACATGAAAGCACATTTTTGTTGCCAAAAAGTGTTATTCGCTGTTCTGTTATACCAAGATCCCACTGTCATGTCCATTTTGGTTCTAAAAACAAGATGGTGGAGGCCACAGTGCCACAGTGCCAACATCGAGGCTTAAAACTAACAAACGAATGGGTTAAGTCAACTTCTTATTTACAGTCTATGACTGTCACACGGACAGATACAGGAAGTCTTTCCAGCCAACAGTAATAACTCTGTATGATAACTCACCTCTGATTGGCCGAGAACTCACTGCTCCATAGTTTCTCTTTTGTTAACTGGACTTATAACTTCAATGTCCATTTTACATTTATATCTAATTTAATATGCCTTTCAATTGTGTTTTATTTGTCAGATAGTCATATTTTTATATTCATGGTCAACTTTTATATTTCCACTCTTCGGTTTTCCATTTTGAGATGTTTATATTGTATAATTGTTTATTTCCGACTCTTTTTTAATGTATTTCTATTAAGTGCAATACTTAGTTTTACATGCTGCCGCAACAAAAACATTTCCCAATTTGGGATTAATAAAGTATATCTTATCTTTAAGATTCTTTCAAAAATATTCAAAGTCAAACAACTGATAATGTTATTTTGTAAGAACTGATGATGCCAACATGTTTTTTGTTTCAACTGTTCAATTGGCTGCATATAAGAACACCACAAAAAGATTTGTTTGGTTTATCACATTTCCAATTTCTGAAAACAACTGAGCACTTAAGACACTTTATCTGTTCATTATGTGTTTCCATCTATATAAGCTCTGTTTCCATGGCAACAGAAGAAATAGGACTAGCTGCTGATGGGTAAAGAGGACATTTAGATTCAGGCTGCATTGATGCATATACAATTCAAATCCCAGATAAGACAGCGAGCAGAATACACAGGTTTGAATGTGAAGGAGTGTACCTGCTGATGGACAGCCGTCTGCTCTTTACCAGCTGCTCTCCCACCAGGAAGCAGGGACTTCAGCAGCTTGGGAACAGCCTTCACTGGAGAGAGATAAGACTCAGCGAAGCCTGGATGCACTGATGAAGAGGAAAAGGTTGCAGGTGCAGAAATTGAGAAAACAAGGGCGGAAAACAGCAGGAACAGATGATGCTTTTTGAGGCAAAGAGGAGAGACACGGAGTGCCAAAAAGAGATTCACAGCAGAAACACAGATACAGTTGCCCACCGGCTAAAGTAAAAACAGAGCTGATGACATCAAAAAAGAGAAAGATGATTCAAAGGCACAGAAGGAATCCATTAGGAGATAAAGGTGTTATCAGTACCTGTGTCTGGGTTCAGGGTCTGGGATATGGAGCTGGGCAGAGTGCGTCTGGATGGAGGCGGGACATAGGAGAGGTCCTGGTGGCTCTCCCAGCCCTGCAGACCCAGAGGAGGACACACATGAGGCTTAAAGAGCATCTCAGACAACTGTGACCTCCATTTGAGACCAAAAGGGAATGCAATAATAATACACAGCATTTATTTCCACCATTCATCCATTAGATCTAGCTTTATCTTCTTACCTAACAATTCTAATATTTTGTGTATCTGTATGATTATTATTATTTTGTTTTGTTTTGTTTCCCATTGTAAAGCGTCCTTGGGTTTTGTGAAAGGCGCTATAAAAATTGAAATTATTATTATTATTATTTATCCATTACTTTTAGCAAGCTGTGACAACAATTATTCCATTATTATTAGCTAACTAATTTGACTAGAATTTCTTGTAAATAAGAAAGAAAAAAAAGAAAAACCGAAGTGGAAGACAGAGGCTGGTGCCCCACGAGGACGAAAACGGGTTGTATCCGCATATTTCTCTTGCGTATAGCCCTTTTTGCCACACGAGGCCGTAACTAAACGATAGAAACGGACCCCGCAAACGATAACGGGTCCAAAGGTGGATAGATCTGGGAACGGAGCGCTCTGGGGGGTCCAACGGCTCCGTGTGATCGCCTCTATACGATCATTTTCTGATAATGACGACGCAATAGCCCCGCCTCACCTCTGCTGCTCACCCCCGCAAAAGTACACTGCACACTGAATTCAGATTATTTATCTTTCTCTCGATATGGACATAAACGAGAGTGAAGTCTAATCTGACAGGACGGAGACACGCAGCTCCTCCGGATGTGATGCAGCGGGAGCAAAACACACACTTCAAGTCAGATCATCACCCTTAGCTATTTTAATTACCTCTCAAACTACCTAAACTAGTTATAAATATGTTTATTTTTACTGTCGAGTCATCATTACTGGATCAGCTGCTGCATGAGACAGACACTGACGCTGTCAGAAGAGAGGAAAAAGAGACAGGCTCTGTGTATTTTATTATTATATAGAGTCGTTATTCATTTGTTTTAAAGCTTAATAAATAACAAAGAAGACCTTTGACCGGCACTTTTATAATTTTGTCCGGAAGATTTAAACTTTAACACACGCTGACCGGCGAAAAACTCTGCCCGGTTCCCTCGGCCCCCACCACGGAGAATAAACAGAAGGGCAGCCATGACAACCATTCTTCTTCGCTGCTTTTTGTGGAGGAAGTTAGGCTCGGCATATGTACTGCAGCTTTTTCCAGCGGTTGGAGCTAAACAGAGCTGTCTTGTGTGAACAGACACTATCCGGTGTATATTGCGTGTGGACGGAAGCTTTTTTGCGATTGCGATTGCATTAATCCTATGCGTTTTGCCGTATGCGTTCCCGTGGGGCAAGCACCTGAGACATGATACATACACTGATAGAAATGAGAAGATTAGTAGACAGGATGTAGGCCTCTCACCTTAAAGTCATTGAGCCTATGAGTGGAGGAGTAGAGATCCAGACTGCTGGCTGACAGCTGGTTAAAGGGTTAGAGCCAGGGCGGTGGTGAGCGTTGGTTAGACAGGTTAACACCAGGGAACATGAAGAAACAAAACCAGAAGCCCAGAATACAAAGAAGCCTACAATAATTAACTCTATGTTAGCAGTACTAAAAAAAGCTGTGAGTTCATGTAAGTGATGTTAGAATACAAAACTACAGAGAAATCTTAGAGGATAGTCAAATGTTAGTTGGGTCAATAAAGAAGAAAACCTGAAGTCTCTTACTCGGTGGATGTTTGGAGAGCTCAGGCAGCGTCTGGGAGCTTTCCCTCGGACTGCCAGCTGTTCCTTTACAGCCACCTCCTACACACACACAAAAACAAGAACATGTGTTTGTTAAAAACACTATGCCTGAGCTTTTGGATGCTTTATATGCATCTAAATTAATTTGATCTATTTGTTTCCATTTCGGCAGGGCGGAAAGAAAACTGCTTCAACTAATGACATCTTCCAAAATAACATAAAGAGCAAAAAAGGAAATGGAAATGTAATGTGCCGACGCTTCAGAGAAACATCAATCACAGCAACATAGTTCAACTGGTCCGACATTAAGGTGTTCTGGGTGATGTAAATGATGCCAAATACCAGGTGATTTACTGTGGATTTGATGTTTGGAGATATATGTCAAAATACAACGACAAATTAGCATGAAGTGTATTTCCTACCTGTCTGAGTCTGTCCAGAGTCAGGACGTTCTCCACAGCCAGGACGCTGCGCAGGTACTTCTCTATGGCCGCCTCACTGTCAGCTGATTGGTCGTCCTCGGTGCTGGCAGCCAGCCGGGCCAACATCTCCCTGTCCTCCGGACCATGGATGTCCTGTGGGGAGAGGGTACACTCAGGGTACTATTCAGTGTGGTTAAGGGGAAAGTTTGAGTGGTTTTGTAGGAGGTATTTATCAGTAGTCAGTTTAAAGAGTGTACAGTAGGTGAAGGTCATAACGCCCCAAGTTTGGCGGAAAGTAAAACGACAGGGGTCTGAAAAACCATCAATAGGACTTTAAATAATGCTATATTTTTTCCCAACTTACATACATTAACACAAACAAACTAATCGAGGCAGCTGTATACCTGCAACTCCTGCGTTAGCATTCATGTTAGCTTCCATGTTAGCTTCTGTGTTAGCTTCCTGGCTCTTGTCTACTTCGGGAAAACTGGGGGCGTTCCAACAGCCATCTACTGGACCTCATATAGTCCCACTTCAAAATATCTAAACTATCCTTCTAAAGCATGGGTTGGCAACAGGCGGCCCGGGCCATTGGCGGCCCGCCAGCAATAATATTTGGCCAGGAAAATTATTTTGAGAATAATAATATTTTTTACAATATTGGACCGACAGTCACACATATAGGCTATAATGTCCGAATAGAGAATCTACCTACACCTGAATAATGCCTATTGTACTTTTATCCATGTTGAGAGTGAATGACACACAGCACAGGCACAATCTGGCAGCGGGGTGCACTGACACTGATAGTGGATCAATAAGTAGCTGGACAGCGCGTGGTGCTGAAATAGCCAACATGCGGTGTGTGGTTTGAAAAAAATAACACCAGCTCACTAAATCATTCAAACGTAATGTTTACTTAGGATATCAAAACATTGACAACAACATCAGAGAAGCCGCTTGATCATGGAGGGCGAGGGGTGGCGGTGCATATGCTGCCACCCCAGCTGCCACCCCAGTTGGCAGCTTTGTTTTGAAAGAAAAGTTTTGGCTCATCGGACATTTATGAGAGAAAATCCCTAATGTCCGAGTGCAAGTGAATGCAGCACAAGACGTGAGCCTTGTAACCCCTCCCCTCCGGCCCTGGTGCGAGCATGGAAAAGTGATTGACGGCGATTTCATTTGAACGGGACGGCGCAAAACGAGAAGCAATTTAAAAGATAAGTCTGTTAATATAGATAATAGCCCTGGCTTTTAACATGGGACTGAAATGGGGCTAGAAAGGACGAGCCTCCCTTTGGGCAGGTCTAGCCAGAGGCTCTGGCCTTTGATTATGTTCTGGCCCGCCATCTAGTGGCTCAGAAAAAAATTGGCCCAAGGCCAAACTTACTTGCCCCTGCTCTAAAGCCTCACCATACCAGGGTTTCATTTATTTATACCATCCTGAAATATTTAGCGTCCCTTAAAATGTGTTCCTGTTCAATCTGCAAAGACCACAGAACGTAGCCAACCAGCATTAAGTATTGAATAATGCTGTGTAAAAAGAGAAGATAAAGGCCCACATTCATGAATGATGTTATTGAAACATATTGTAACACAACATCCAACCTGTCTGATCATTTGCATGTCCTATGCAGAATACACTTTAAAAAACCGATAGATGCACAGTAAGCACAGCCTACTCGAGGCTAATTTCTGGACAAAAAAAGAGCATCAACACACATTGATCCAGTACTTACCCCTGGGATGTTAGAAACTATTTCAAACGTGACTCCACAGCCGGGGATGGTGCTGCGCTGAGACATCCTCTTCATCAGACTCTGAGCGAAACCCTGCCACACAAACACCAAAACACATGTCCCTGAATGATTTGTTTTAGCGATCAAGTGATTCTTTGAGAAGGAAATGTCATTGTGTCTGACTGCTTCTACCCATCATGCCTCGGGGCCACCCACCTGTCTTCCGGTGACGTTGACACAGATGCGTTTCCTGAGCACCAGCTGCATGTGGGCGGGGTGGCTGAGCTGCACCACCGTGCTGACCGTCAGGTACACCCTCTGATCGGCCGGCGCCACGCGGCTCAGCTGGGGACACTCGTGCACCGTCGAGTCCCAGGAGGCCTCCACCTTCGCCTGATGACATCACAGAGCAGGGGACAGTGAATGGCTAAAATAGTCCCTACATGTACTATCTAGGTGGCACATTTGGGATTTGTAGAAACAGTGTTGAAAACCCATCTCCTTACCTCTGGATCAAAGTGTTTAACAATATGGAGGTCAAAGAAGTCGTCCTCCTCCTCCCCACAGAGGAGGGCATCCAGCCCCCCGGCCAACGGAGCAGAGAGACTAGACTGGAAATCATCAGCTGCAGGGGAAGACGAAAGCCAGTTATTAAGACTTCAGAGGATTTGGCTAAATCATGAGCAGATAAGACAGAGAGGAAGGACATACCGCTGAGATCCAGGAACAGGACAGGAATGTGTGTTTCCATCCCAGAAACAGGAACCCTGTGGAGGAACAGCACAGTCAGCATAATGACTCAACAACTAAGATACAGACGGGCTCACAGCGATCTCTACTTATACCTAATTGAGTGGTATTTGCTTAAGGACAGCTGTTTTGTAATCAAATGGATCTAGTGAGTAGAAAACTGTAGTGATTTTGGTGGTTATTATAAGCTGTCATTTCAGCAGTTATATTGGGGATTCACAAAGTTGTCAAGAGCAATTCAGTGTATGGAAGTAAAGTGTACCTGCTTACATTTGACTAAAGAATGATTACATACGTTTTATTATGAAAATGTACTTAAAAATCCAAATGAAAAGTTCATAATTCCACAGATTGGCCACTTTGCTAGTGTTATATTATGACATACATATATTATGATTATTGTGTTATAATAGGAGCTGGTTCATTTCCAACAACTCATTTTGTTTTTGTGAAGGGTGAATAGGAAGCATTGGTTTTAAATCAAGCCTTTCATTAATAGATCAAATAAACTATTGATTTCCCTTCAGACTCACCTCTCCACCGGCGCTCCGGGGATGCCGCTGCCGGCCGACGGCACCAGGACAGCGTTGCGTTCCTCGGTGAGCGTCAGACGACACTCCAGCAGCTGAGACTCCCTCTCAACATCATCCTCCGACTTATCTACAACACACACACACACACACACACACACACACACACACACACACACACACACACACACACACACACACACACACACACACACACACACACACACACACACACACACACACACACACACACACACACACACACACACACACACACACACACACACACACACACACACACACACACACACACACACACACACACACACCACACACACACACACACACACACACACACACACACACCACACACACACACCACACACACACACACACACACACACACACACACACACACACACACACACACACACACACACACACACACACACACACACACACACACACACACACACACACACACACTTTTTAACCTACAATACAAACTATAATACGGTGATAAATGTGTTGATTTTGTGATGATCATTTCTATAGCTGGGTCTAATAGCAGTCATGCTACTTCTTAAAATAGTAGTGCACCTCTTGTGGCCAAAATTAGTATTACAACAACCAAAATCAGATCAGATGTGTTAAATAGATCACCAGATCTCCCCTCACTTGTCTCTCAGGGCTTCCATAGAGTTCCTGAAGGTCCTGACAGTTTTCCTTTTCAATTTGTTTGGACTGTGTATGTGTTTCACAGCTGTACCTGGTTTGGAAACTATCTTCTGCAGCTGCTGGTCCAGATACTCCTGTCTCTGAGTGAGCGTCACCAGCCACTGTTCCCTCAACCTCTCCAGATCTGCCTCCTACACACACACACACAGGCAGAGGTGCATTTTGACATCAGCTGATTACACCGCATTTTATTCCATTATAAGCAAACCATCATGCATCTACGTCAGAACTGATTTACATACCTGGTAGCTGTCCATCTCTTCATCCCCACCCTGAAGAATACAGACACAAGTCAATCATGAAAACTGAAGAGCAAAGTCATAATAATTCCATAAAATCCCTTCTTTTACATATTTTGAACTAATACTGATGATTCCTCCTCACCCAATGTGATTCGCTGCCTCTGGAGACCCGGGTCTGTCGGATCTTGACGTCTCCGATGGACACGGAGACGATGGAGGCAGCGATGAGGGGCATGGTGCCAGATTCTGGTACTGGACGCACCTCCACCTGGACCCGACGAGACTGGCCCTGTAGGAACAGATTCACATGATAGGATAGTTATTGTCACATATATACATTTAATACTGTGTGTAAAATGTACAAAACCACAAAGACCAATTCCAGGATACCTGTCTGAGCTGGAAGACCCCCCCTGTGTGGACGTCTTTAGCGGGGAGAACCTCCACAGGGGTGAACTGTCCGGCGTCGTTCAGCTCCATCAGCTGCACCCACAGCTCCAGGTGGCGGGTCGCCTCGCTCCACCTGCAGAGCACGGACACAGATCAAAGCTTAGCTGAATTCACTTTAAAAGGTATGACAGTACACATTGGTGCTTTTGTGGCCATTCTGCCATTAGAGGGTAAAGCATGTCATTACTAATACACTGTGAGATAATATGAGACTAATGTAGGAGCCACATGGAAGGGTTTGTATTTTGAATGTTTATTTATCATATTTTCCACTCATTATTAGCTTCAAAATTCACAAGTGGGGTGTTGATTTATGTATTTGGAGCATCTGAAGTTCTAAGCTGAACTTTTGTGTGTTTTTGAATCATTTCCAGGACTGCAGGGTTGTGTTTGTGTGTCGTCACCTCTCTCTGAGGGTTCTGGTTTTGGCTTGAATCACTCCCAGGTCCCACAGAGCCAGGTTCCTGCGGTGGTTGGCCTGCTTGTGTCCGTACACCTCGATGGCCACCGCCCCATCAGCCAAGAACTCCACAAAGTCCTCCGACACTGACACCGAAAACTCCTACAGAGGGAGAAAAACAAGACATCTTTCATTCCAATGTACATGTTCTTATATTAACAATAACCTCTCTTTTGTTTTTTTATCATTTCATTGTTGGTGTTAAATGTTAGTGTTGAATTCACTTATTTTGTTATCGTTGTTTGTTTCTGAAATGGTGTTGAATGGAGTAGATTGTGTCTCTTTTCAAATCCAACTGTTGATATGAGTGTTACATTCTCACAATGCTCTTCTGTCAAAGACATGGCAGACAAAGGCGGCGCGTGAGGCTCAGGTTTGGGAAGGCTAAATAACTTTTTTTACCTGACGCTGCCCGCCTCCGGCATCTATAGAAAAGAGATCAACTCAGTGAAAGCACCGCCTGCTGACCAATCAGAGCTCAGTTTGCGGAGTTTAAATCTATCAAGTCATATTACAGGATAAAGGAAATACAGTTTAAACTGCCGTATGCAGAGAAGACGCCGACGTGTCGCACTTATCATTCATATCACATCATCAATCACATCATCGATCATATAATATCAATATCGTGTCCCCGTTCATAAAGCATAAAGCAACAGCATCAGAGCACGGTGCAGAGTCTCTAGATGAGTTTACAGTAGTCCAGAGTTCCCGTTAGAATATTTATTTGCCGGTCAACATGTCCGTTAAAGTTGAAATCTTCCGGACAAAAGTAGAAAAGTGCCGGTCAAAGGTCTTCTTTGTTATTTATTGACCTTTAAAACAAATTGATATGATTCGATATTAAACAAACTAATTATAGTAGATTAACTACATTATTCAAAAGTGTACAGTAACTTACAAAAACACGGGAATAATAAACGGAGCGCTCTCCCCCTCTCCTGACAACACGCCAGTATCATGCAGCTCGCGGATCCAGTAATGAGTGACCCGACAGTAAAACTAAAAACATCTATAACTAGTTTAGGTAGTTTGAGAGGTAATTAAAATAGCTACGTGTGATATTCTAACCTGAAGTGTGTGTTTTGCTCCGCTCACCGCTGCAGGGGATCATGCAGAGCTGCGTGTCGACTCGTCAGCAGCAGCTGATCTCTCTATCCCGTCAGATTAGACTTCACTCGCGTTTATCTCCATATCGATCAGATCCAGCTAGTTCTAGCTAATGACATGACTACCTGCTTATTAAAAGACACCTAAACAATAAGCGTCGCTATGCAACCGGGTGAGGCCGCAAAGTATAGCGCAGCATTATGCATTTGTTTACATGCCCACCGGAACCCCGAGGCATTACCAACAGATCAACGCACAATCAAACCATACAGGACATCTCTTTCTCCACAATAAGTGTTAGACATTAGAATTGACTCTTCTTGTCTGTCACATACTATTCTTGTCTGTCACATAAGTGGCGCAACTGATGCGGTATTGCGCTAAGGGGAAATAATTTTGACCGGACATTTTGACCGGAGAGATTTAGATTTGCCGGTCTTCAGCATATTTTACCGGTCATAGTCCGGTAATTACCGGCTAACGGGAACTCTGCAGTAGTCCCTCGTTCTTATTAAACATCCATGTTGTAGTCCGCTGTATAGAAAACTGTAGTTTCCATAGTTTCCCCACAGCAGCAGGCGCACATTTATGACCTCCGCTGGTGTATCATAAACACGTCAGATAGTGAAAGTGCAGTCGGATTCTCTAAAGTACTGCAGTCTCTTCTCCTAAGTACTTTTGAATATATCCACTATCCCTTAACCCCGTGACGTTTCACTCAGAGGTCAAGGAATAGAAGATAGGGTTAGACGTTAGGAGCTGGTTTTTGGATTATCCGACCGCAACCCCTGGCTTGATTTACCGAGTTGATAACCAGCGTCGTAGGACCGCTTAGCGAGATCTTGTTTGTTAGGGTTAGTTAAGATAACTCAAACATATCCAGGGTCTGTTGAACTGGCCTCGTAGAACAGGGCACAGGTGGCTGCATAGCAGCGCTAATGTCAAAGACACAAACATTATATTTTTATTTTACCAGGATGCGACAAAAATATTTCCCGCCGCCCCTGATGGCAGAAGATAGTAGCTAGGTACTGCAGCTCATATATATTATTCAACTCCATACCTATTTTTATGCACTACATACTTTAGCTGCAATGCTCAAATAGTGCATTGTTTTAGTGATGAACATTTAGAATACTCTACAACGTACCAGGAAGCTAGAAATGAAAACTGTACATTGACTTTGCTGTATTTATGTTAAGATGGAGTAACGAATAAAACCTAATTGTGAAGAATGTTTTGAACCCTGTGTACCGTAAAAACTTGGAAGCAGTGGAATTGTTACCCTGGCGCTGTCGAAGACCACCGTGCACTGAGGGTCTCTGGACTCTGCAGGCGAGCTGGACGGCTGCATCTCTGGAGCGATGAACACCGACTCCTGCTGGCCCCAGAAGTGATACTGACAGAAGACAAAGTTGGACAGGTGGCGAGGCAGACCGTTGGCCTGGAGGATTTTCACCTGAGAGAGAGGAGAGGAGGAAAATCCAATCACATACACAGATAATGATGAACAACAAAGATAGTTTAAGAACTATGATGGTAGCCTGCCACATGTGTGAGTCGTGTTAGGAGTTGGTGCGTGTGTGTAAAGTTTGTTGGGAGCGCATGCAGTGCGGCCGGTTTCTTTGTTTCGGCTCATTAAACCGCTTGTGTAAAGGCCATCAGATCGTTGTTTGGGACTGATTCAATTACTTTGCGAGGCTTTGATTTGTTTTGCATTATATTTGAGGAGAGTGTTTGCCAGTTGTTCTTAGCCTATATCAGCTGTTTTTCTCTCGCTGACACGTGTGAGTGTGTTGGTGCGTTGTATGTGGGGCGGTGCAGAGTTTTTCCCTTGTAGGTTTTATTGGCGGTTCCCTTGGGATCGTTGAGCGGGGTGTGTGTAGTGTTGCGGCGAAAGTGGGTGAAGCTTCGGCTTGGGAGCATGGCCGGGTTTTCAGCAGTGTTGCTAGCCTGCTAGTCGCTTTGCTGTGCCAGCGGTCTCCAGAGCGTAAATACCCACCACAAGTAACTGCATGAAGACTAGGGGGGAGATTAGTCAGAGGGATGGTGAATAGTTACTCCAATCAAAAGTTACTATTGTTCCACTTTGTGCGCATAATAAACGCTGTGGGGTCTGTCCGGTTTTGTTCAGCTTAAAGGTCCGGTGCTGTGTTCCTGTGAGTTGTCATTGTAAAATAATATGGCTGACATAGAGGCATTCATTAAAGCTCCATCTCAGGAGTCTCTTGGCATTTTTTCAAAAGATCAGTTGCTCGTGATCGCTGAGCATTTCTCTGTGTCTATTGTCGGGGATAAAAGGGTGAAAGAGAACATCAAAGACTCTATAATATCCACATTCATTGAGATAGGAGTGTGTCCTGCAGAGAAAGGGGAGGTTTTGTCAAAGCCTCTTTTTCAGGCTAGTGCACTTTCTTTTGAGCAGCAGAAAGAAATGTACACGAGAGAATAAAGTATGAGTTGGAAATTAAAAAGGAAATTGAAGTGGAGCGAATTTGACAAGAATCTGAGAAAGCAAAGCTGGAGATGGAGGGATATCGTCTGTCTAGGCTCAGAGATGGCGTGTTGTCCGGTGAGGGGCAGGGTGGACCGTGCCCAGGTCTCCTCATCGTTTCAATGTCAATAACTTGCGCTTGTTGCCTCACTTTAATGAAAGTGATCCTGACACGTTTTTTTTTGAACGTGTAGCTAAGGCTAGAGAGTGGCCTGATGCAGACTGCGCTCTGATGCTTCAGTGTGTTCTCACAGGAAGAGCACAGTCCACATATTCCTCCTTATGTCTGGAAGATAGCTCTAGCTATGTTAAAATCAAATGGGCGGTGCTTAGAGCACATGAACTGGTGCCAGAGGCCTATCGACAGCGCTTTAGGTCCGTTGAGCAAAAACAAGGTCAAACGTATGTGGAGATGGCGAGGGATTTGTCTGTTCATTTTAAGCGTTGGTTAACTGCTCTTGACATCACTTCTTTTGACAACTTGTGTGAACTAATGATTTTAGAACAAAATGTTCTTCCAGACCGCATTGCCACATACATAACAGAACACAAGGTCACTTCTGCGGCTGAGGCTGCTGTGGCACAGCAAAAAAACATTCTTATGTATTTCTTGGTTGCATTTGAAACATGTTGGTATGTTACATTTAAGTCTGGCTCTCTCCTCAAGTCACAACATATGTTTTGATTTGGTTAATATGTAGGAATTTGTAGCAAAGAGCTCTTGGCTTTTATTTTGTTTCCTCTTAACAAAACAGAAGCTAGAAAGGATATAAGGACAACACCGATTTAATTACATTTTCACAGTACAGTGAGCTGGAAAACTCACAACAGAGAGAGGACACAACGGCTGACTGCCTGCCAGATCCATTATTCATTTTGAAATATTTTCCCCCTAGAATCCCTGTCAACACTGAACAGATACTGCATGTAGGAGCCTGACTGTCCAGCACTGTCTCAATCAGGGCCGTAGGGTCGCCGGGTCAAGTCCCTGACTAGACCTAAATATGGAGTGTGGACTGCTACTTGGAGAGGTCCCAGTTCACCTCCTGGGCCCTGCCGTGGTGCCCTTGAGCAAGGCACCGGACACCCCCCCAACCCCCCACTCCCACTGCTCCTAGTACTAGACTGGGTTAAAAGCAGAGAACACATGTCACTGTGTGTGCTGTGTGCTCTGCATGTGTGACCATTAAAGAGGGTGTCATCCCTCCCATTCTATCATTCTTCTATGACTTGTTCCTGGATTTTGCTCATTTACAACTGAATGAAACACAGAAGCCTGTTCTCACCACACAGTCCAGTTTGCGGTCCTGTGTGTCTCCGTCTGAGTTGCTCTGTCCTGCAGCGTCCCCCTGAGAGCTCTCTGTTCCCGGCCTCACCTCCACATGCAGCCGGCCTGCAACCTGATGAGCACACACAGAGGGAGGGTCCCATTGTCACTTCAGCGGGAAGCAAACATGTCTTTTTTTCCAACCATTTAAGTACTTTTTTTCTGGTCAGTGAGGCTTATTACCATTTAGTCCATAACATAGGCTTATATTATTGTGATGCCTAATAATCCAAATAAGCAATACATACTTGCCAAGAGAGGCAAGTTAGAAAACTGTTTTTAACGTTTTTCCAGGATAATCTGTTCCCTAAAAACATATGTGAAATATGCCAAGATCATTTTTCTAACTAACTTACGTGTTATAATATCTTTTTGGCCACAAGAGGGTGCAGTGTACCACTACCCCATGCTCCTACTAGAACTAAAGCTTTAATGGTTTTTTTCCAGGCGACTTGAGATTTCTCTATGCACTCTAAACCAAAAGGTACATACAGTAAATGTTCTGTTAGCAAGTTATGCAACATAACTGTCATGTCTGTCTTTTGGCTAGAAATATATTATAATCGCCCACTTTCAGTTGTATTTATAACATGTGGTAAAGGAGCACTTCAGCCTCTTGTGGCCAAATGTAGTACTCCAAAAAGAAACACTAAAATAAATTCCCCTGCCAATTTTTCTTCCCGGGAGCAGGGTCTGAAGCTTACAGTAGGTTATTGGAGTTTCCTCTGAAAAACTGCTGCGGATGAGAGCATTGGAGACCAACACTGTGGAGTTGATGGTCCAGAAAAAACGAAATAATGAGCTGACAGATGCTAATGTTCTGTAAATGTGTCACTACAAGCAACCCCTTTCACATCAAAGTCATTCTTACATTGCAAGATACACATATTTATGAGGGGAGCTTTGCATTTGCTCGAAAAGAGGTGTTTAATCAAATAAACAAACATATATTTGATTAGTTTAAGATCTTGTAAAAATGGTATCTAAATTGTCTGTGTGTGTATTGAACAAATATATGTATTGCTCCCAGTGGGCCTCCTACCTCCCCCTTCTGGTTGATGATGGGCACTGCGTACTGCAGCTTGACGTCGTAGAACAGGCAGGCCAGGAAGACGTTAGCCACGCCGATCAGAGAGTGGTTCTCCTGCTCGTCGAAGAACGGGTCGGCACGTTTGAAGTAGGACCGCATCACCTGGGTTCGAGAGAAAATGAAAACAACTTGGTGAGACTGAGGGGGTAATCACTTTTTAACTTCAGGGTCAAATGTTAGACTGTATTGTTGGAAAACTGGAGTTCTAATGATCCATCAGGACTTTATTCATTTCTTTTTCATAAAGAAGTCAATCATATTTGCCCATATTTTATTTGCATATTCTTTGTTCACTGTGCTTATTTTGTGTCCCTTCTTTTAAGAATCAGGTAAGCAAAATGGCAGAAATGAAACTAATCAGATTATTCTTATCAGATATCAGCTGACACATCTACATATTACTGAATTAAACTGTAAATGTTCTACAGATTATGATGTCATTCATTTATCCGAGTCAGTGCGTCATCAGGCTCGTATCTGTGTTCACTCACAGCGTTGTCTTCGTCAAAGTCCTTCCACTCCTGGTAGAGCTCCCTCATGTCCACCAGCCTGTTCTCCATCTTCTCCAGAGCCCAGATCTGCTTCCCTTTCCCTTTACGCCGCACCTGGATGGCCGGCTCACTCAACACGACATCACGCTATGGAGAGGGGGGGAGAGAGGAATCTGCTTCTTATTCGTGGTGACCTTAAAATCTTAGCGGAGGAACAGTATTTTATGCAGATTATGTCACTTATATTACAGATGACCCGTTTCCAGAGTAGAAAGGTAATAAACGAAAGAGGGCAAATGTAAAAAAAAAAGCACTGAATTCAGTTGAGTAATAATCTTGTTTGAGTTTCAATTTGATGCAAAGATTTGAACCTTAGCAGAAACATGGATCATTGGAGTTGAGGCAGTGCTCTGATAATCAAAATGTTGTCTAAAGACATCAATGGATAATGTTTTCTTTCATGTTTTCTTTGGATATATTGGCTCTAAATAAAAAGCTAATGGAATATGTCTGTATGAAGAAACCAAAAAAAGTAATGATCATGATTTTTGGCAATAATGGTGCAGCCCTACTTAAAGGTGGGGTAGGTAAGTTTGAGAAACCGGCTCGAGATACACTTTTTGTTATATTCCATGGAATGCTCTTAACATCCCGATAGCAATGAATATCTTAAGTGCTTTGACAAAAAATCCATACAAAATGTCATCTGTGGAAGCCGTAGTACTGTAAAAAGCACGACCAATCATTTTAGCCGGCCCGGCTAAAATAACTGGATGGCCTACCTGCCTGTCAGCCTTCCATCTGTGCACAAACTTATCTCGTGCCCTCATTGGTCATGTGCGTGTTCATGTGTGTTGGAGGAGGGGCTCTGTAAGGAAGTGGCAGATTTTCTCCTGTTGTGTATTTTCAAATTCTAGCGCACTCGAGCTGGTTTCTCCAAAATTACCTACCCCACCTTTAACATGGACTTACTTTTATTTCCCAGAAATCTACCGTTACCTTAATCTTTAAAGACCCTTGCATTAATTTTTTATTTTAATTCGTGGGGGAGCAACAAAACTACATTTCTCCACATAATTGAAGCTTTCTGATTCATTTTGTACCCAAAAGGAAGGCGAGTCCCCACAATGTGACTGTGTAAACAGATGTACGCCCCCACAACACGAGTGGAACACACAACCAGGGCTGGTTTTTGGCATAGGCGCCAGATCTGCGAGGCCAAAGAAAGTCGGGACAAAGAAATCACTCTGATTGGCTGTTCAGCTTAGCGAGTCAGTGCATGAGAAGCGAAGCGGAAGTGAGGGACCAAAACAAACGATTAAGAAGGCACACACAGACGGCTAATCTTTTTCATTTTCATCTCACCCGGACGCAAGAGTTTCTTTTTTATGTTTACATGTTTTCGATCGACGAGAGACAGTGAAAATGGAACCCAGACGCTACAGTATTTGTTGTTTGTTTATATCACGCAGTCTGTTCTTCTTCTCTCGGTGTATAGTCTGTCTTCCGGTTGTTGCCTCTTTTGAATGACGAATACACACTACCGCTGCCTGCTGGTAAGGACAGTTATTGCCACTCGTCAACTGACGACTGACGACGCAGCGGACGTAAAAGTCGGGACGCCTTCGGTACGCGTTCTTTGGTCTCAGGTTGGTGTGTAGCGGCCTTTATCCTACATTTATTCTTTATATATTCTATTGTGTATTCCTTGGATACTCTATTGATCTTTATCTTTTCTACTGTACGATTCTCTGGCTGGGCGGGGGGGGGGGGGGGGGGGGGGCGCCAGCAAAGATCTCGCCTAGGGCAGCAAATTGGCTAGAACCGGCCCTGCACACAACACACACACACATCCTACCTTCCTGTTAGCATCCAGGTTGGCAGCAGGTATCTGCAGCGTGACCAGGTACTCCGTCCTCTTGCTCATCTCCTCGGCGATGAACCCGGCCTCCTGAGCCAGCAGGTTGGCCCGCACGATCTGCTCCCTGAGGCGCCGCAGGCTGCGAGTCATCATCGCTTCTCTGAGACACACATACAAGTTTACAAAGCATCTGATGAATGTATGTTTCTCCTTTAAAGACAACAGGGGTCAGTTAAAGTGTCCCATCCTTAGAAGTTCCCAGAAACAGCGGTAAAAAGAAGTTTGGTGAGGCAGCTTTCATTTACTAAGCCCCAAAGCCATGGAACAAAATACCTGTAGACATCAGGGAAGCCAGCTCGGTGGAAGTCTTTCAAAAAAACTCATAACACATTTGTACAATTTAGCCTTTTAGGAAGCCAACTCTTCTTTAACCTGTCACCTGATTGTGTGTTGAATTTGCACTATCCTCCTTTTAATGCACAATTTCATCATTGTACCTTTAATCTAAATTCATTTTGTATATGTCTACTGTATGCTATTTTTTGTTTGTTTTTATGTCTTTTACTGGTAACTGTATTCTGTGTGATATCAATTATCTGTGAAATGTCTATGTGAAGCACTTTGAACTGCACTTATTGTATGAAAGGTGCTATACACATAAAGATTATTATGATTATTATGATTATCCTCCCGTTGTCTCTCACCTGTCCTCGCTCCAGCGGCGCATGCGTTTCTGGGAGATGTGTGGCGTTGCAGCCGCTCCTGCAGGGTCCAGCAGGTGAGAGGGTTTCTCCGGAGTCAGCCTCTGGCGGAGCTGCTGCAGCTCCTGCTCGTATATCAGCCTCTGGCGCTCCAGGGCGCATCGCTTCTCCTCCTCATGCTGCCTCTCCAGGGTCTGCAGCACCGACTGCAGGGGGTCTGAGGGGGGGGGAGGAGGAGGGGCCGCAGGAGGGACAGAGAAGAAAGGGAGGGAGGAGTGGGAAGAAGTTTAGAGTTTGCTATTCTTTCCTATCAAATGAAAATTAGCATCAATAAAAACTGTTAAAATGAAAAGTCCTTGTCTTTGTTTAGTCAACATTACAACTGCTTCAAACGGATGCACTCAGGAAAATCCTAAATGTACCACATTAAAGTCTTCTGTGCAGGATTTACACAACCAGTACATTGTGAGAAATAGAAATGTACCTGGGGTCCCACATTAAAAACATTTGGATTATTCTGCACAGAGGCTGGAGATACTTGATGGACATTGTGTGATACAACTGTAACATCTGGATGGGTTCACTTTAAGAACAAAGCTATTCTCTTAAACAGATATGACAATGACTCAACAAGTATTGTGTGTATTTCCAAAGTGACCCATTACAAAAGATGTATATCTTCAGGACCAAACGGGTTTGGGGCAGAGTGCCAGGGGACAGGGCCGGGAACAAATTGGTCTTTTCCTGGGATTTGTTGACACTGGTTGTCCTTAAGTCATTTGTGAAAAATGTGACAGAACTAGAAGTTATTTTGGTGCCAACAGCCACTTTCAATGACATGCTCCACAGATATGACATGAGTTAGATGGGTGAGGAGGTCATACAAACACGAGGAGGTCTCTGCTTCAATGTTTCCACTCCCATGACAAGTATATTTAGACCTTTAACCAAATCTATCGTTTATGGTGTGGCATTTACTGAAATCTACCACAGTGTTTCCATTGAATCATTATGCCTCTTGGTGTTTGTTTTTGATCTAATATTACCATGTTATTAACAGAAACAGATAGCGTAGCATTTTGCTGCCCTGACTCATGGTTATTACTTAGAAACTACCAAGTGTTTACAAGTAACAATTACAGCATTAATCACACCATTTATAGTTTTACTTTAAGATAAGGGTTGATGCATTTAGCATTACAATATGGTTTATGACCAATTGATGTGTGATTTGGAAGGTTTCTTTAAATGTAAAGAAAAACCAAAATGATATTGCACTATAATTATAACGTATTTACCCTATTTATTTCACTTCATAACTATTTTAATCCAAATCTTGCAATAATATTACTATGTTATTGTTAGCCGGTTACCATAATATTACCAACATATCATTATACTATTAATTTATTTTAGTCGTTTGCCTTGTTGCTATCTTTAAATGTGTTTCATTACAATACATATTTGTATTTATATTTATTATAAAAAATATGATATCATTATTAATTATACATTTTTCGCCCGTTTGTACCCTTTTACATACATTTCAGTCTAAAAATACACATTATTAATACCAAGGTATTACCTGCTCATACTTTATTTGTAACTTTATGGTATTTCCTAATTACTTCCTCCTTATTATACAACTATGACATCACTGTAAGAATGTTTTTACCGAGCTTTAATGTAAAGTACTATCAGTAAGTCAAATCAATGTGAAATGTCTCACACATGCATTCTTTTTGAGATCCTTTTTTAAAGAGTTGTATAGACACAATATCAGTTAACTGTGTACAAATGCTTGAGTCATGCATCGTCACTATATTTACCATAACTGCCAACCTAAAAACATGCTCTGAGGAAGTTAAACGCATCCGCATGTATTTTACTGTATCATATTAAATAAGCATATGTTCATATTGTTTATATCAAAGCGCTCCTTCATCACCTCTCAGAGTGACTCACCGTTGTTGCCCATGCCTTTCATCATGACCTCGGCCTGAGCGAACTCGTATCCGAAGCTCAGCTCGCTGGACACGTCGCTGGACGCGTCAAAGTCCACCTCCAGCCGGTCGCTGCTCAGACACGTCTTCATCACCCCCTCCTCATCCTCAGCCCCTGTGTGCACCATGTGCCTCGGCAGGCTGATCCTGTGTGTGTCCATCAGCAGGCGGTGTGTATTGATGTATGTGACAAAGTGGGTGACAGAAGAGGAAGTGTTACAAAAATAGGAAGAGACACAATGAAGTGTTTTTGATCATATGTAAATGCATGCTGTAGAAACATGTGGGGTTCAGCTCTATATCTGTGTGATGGTTCACTTTGAGTAAACACTGTAGGTGAAGCAGACCTGAAGAAGTGGTTGTTCCCCCACAGGATACGGTCACCATGGTGAAGCTGGACCGGACTGGTGACTGCAGCACCGTTCACACACGTTCTACAGGTGGCAACAAAAAGATGTATGCAACATGAGAAAAGATGATAGTTTACATGGTCAACTACTGAAAACAATGACAATTGCTTACATAGTTCAACATGTTAGTTCACGCAGCTTTAGCTAAAAACCTCCTAGTACCTACTATAAAAAACTCATCTGGTAGCATTTAATACTTAGTCAGGTCCATATCCTTCTTATTTCCTGTTTCTATGTAAACTAGAAAAGACATTTATTGATTCGGATAATTTCCCTCTCTTAGCTTCCTACTTTGAAACAAATGGGTTTGTATTCAAATTTGTATTTCCTAAAGTACGGTATCTCATGGAAAGATTCCCTTTTCAAATTGCTGTCAGACTATGGAAAATATCTTCTCCTTGAGCAAGACTTGGGTAGACATAATGACAAAACCAGACCAGATTGAGCAAAGTGTAGAAAAAAAAAGTGTCATTTCTCTGTATGAGTCCTTTTCAAAGTGCTGTCTAATTCTAATAAGAACAATTTGAGCCTGTCACTGGCAACATTAAGCATTTGAATGGACAACCTTTATGGTGCAGAATTTCCTCAAATAATTAGATTGCAGCCCATTTAGTGCAGCGCTCTTGCTCAATTTCAAAAATAATTGTCCTCATTAGATATAACATGAAAAAATAGTGTTCAGGTTGAAAAATAAAGAAGTTACCCTTTGACTTAAATATCTATTAGCACAGCTTTAAATGCAAGTGCTACCATCTATGATCCTTGCTGTCAGTTCTTCTAATCTAATGCTTGGTGTTTGATCTAAAAGTGATTTCTCAGCATGGAAAGAGCATCCATATCTTGTCAAAAATATGAGAAAGTAAAATCAGCGGTGCACAGAGAGCTCCTCTGTGAAGTTACAGCAATCAATGAGAGCTGTTGTTGACTGAGGTGAGCACATACCGAGCGTTGCGGTGAGGAGTGAGCATCACCCCGCTGCTCTCTGTGATGTCCATGACACAGTGCTCCGCCTGGATGGCCATCCCACACAGCTGGATGTCCTGAGAGTTAGCTGAGCCCACCCGCGTGTGCTCCTGGATCACGGGAGGAAGAAACATATATATCTTTTAAATACGCAGCTTCTATTTGGGGTTTTTAAATGAAGGTTTGAACGTTTTCAGTCTTATGCTCATTTACTGGCGTTAAACAGAATAATGCTGCGCTGCATTTTAGTGTTGATTAAAAACGATTTGGTACAGCCCTAGTCTACATCCGGTGTGCCCCTATGTAGTGCAGCCTACAGTATATACAGTAAAGAGCACTGGACTGTGTATCAGGTACCTTCAGATAGTACACCAGCAGCTCGTTGAGGGCGGGGTCAGCGTTGAGGTTGACCAGGAAACACTTGTCATCCACCACTCTGATTCCAGACGACTGCAGGGAGATGCCCAGATTCTCCAGCTGCCTCTGACGCTCCTACAGGAAACATACATACAACATTTGAATACAAGAGCTGTTGATTATTCTGTTCTTTAGCTGCGAGAGAAATGTTAGAGTGAAAACAAAAGGAGCTACAGTAAGAATAGAGTCTTTTCTCTGTGTGTGCAGAGATGACTCAGAAGTTAGCATCCGAAGGGCTCCCTCGATGTAAAGCATTTTCTATTGGATTTCAGAATATAACATAGAATAAGATGTGTTTAGCAGGATAATCTCTACATATTAACACCACTTTTATGATTGTTGAAGCATAAATGCTATTGGCATTAGTCAAAAGCTAACATTAGGGTATAAACAAACTACATGACGGTTGAATGGCTGCAAATCAGATAAAGGCGGCTAATGTTCAGCGTGATGACGTTTAATAGTTGCATTTAAGCCCCGGCCACACGAGGACGATAACGATCGTATCTGCTACAGTTCACTATCAGATAGACGTTCGGCCCCACGAGGTTGACATGGAAACGCAGAAAACGATAACGATAACGGGTCCCAAGGTGGGAAACAAAACGCTCTGGGGGGGGCAAACGGCTCCGTGTTTACGCCTATATGATCATGTCCTGATAACGATGACGCAATAGCCCCGCCTCTCCCACCTCTCCTGCTCAGAGATCAGCTGCTGGGCTGTCAGGAGAGGGGGAGGAAAAGAGAGGCTCCGTTTTTTATTATTATATTATTATATAGAGTCGTTATCAATTTGTTTTAAAGCTCAATAAATAACCAAGAAGACCTTTGACCGGCACTTTTCTAATTTTGTCCGGAAGATTTAAACTTTAACGGACATGTTGACCGGCGAAATAAAATCTAACTGAAACTCTGCTGCACGGTCCCCTCGTCCCTTGGAAGAGGCGGAGGGGTGGGTGTTTTTCATCTGCTGGTGGACTACCGGAGAGCAGCAGGAGCAAACGCTTGCCTCGGGGAGGGAGAAAAAGAGCCAGAGCGTCCACAGCGGAGAATAAACAGAAGGGCAACCATGGCAACCATGTCTTCTTCGCTGCTTTTGTGGCAGGACTACAGCGCCACTTACAGGCCTGGCATATGTACTACAGCGTCTCCAGCGCTTTCGAGCGGTCTGGTGTGAACGGACACGTTTCTGGTGCCTGTTGCGTGTGGACGGAAGACCTTTTTGATAACGATTGCGGTCCGTTTGCGTTATCGTCCTCGTGTGGCTCCAGCCTAAGTCATTTGTAAGCGACTGCTGTATTTATGACACATAGAAGCATCAGACATTCACAAGTAGGGTCATTACTGATACTGTATATCATGCTTTAGAACAAAACGTGAAATTCTCATAAGCATGTGCTAAACACAGATCTTATTTCAGATCTTGATCAAAAAACAACTTTGAGATATGGGAACCAGAAAAATGCTACATTTGGGCCCTAACGTAGGGTGTGTGTGTGTGTGTGTGTGTGTGTGTGTGTGTGTGTGTGTGTGTGTGTGTGTGTGTGTGTGTGTGTGTGTGTGTGTGTGTGTGTGTGTGTGTGTGTGTGTGTGTGTGTGTGTGTGTGTGTGTGTTACCTGTGCAATAGCCTCAGTCTTCCTGAGCTTGTCCTCCCAGGTGTAGGTCATTTCTTGGATCAGTTTCTCTGACTCCTCCAGCCTGTCCTTCAGGTCGGGGGCCTTCATGGACTGTGAGAGTGACAGAAGCTGCATTACACACGGCATATTACTGTGTTTGTATTTCAATATTCACAAACTGCTGTAACCCTAACCTCAGCCTCTGTGAGCTGCTCCCTCAGCTTCTCCACCTCCTCCCGCAGCTCTCTGATGATCCTGGCGTTGGGGTCTTCGTTGACGACGGCGTGGTTGACGATGCTCTTGGCGCGGTCGGCATAGCGCAGGGTGGACAGCGTCTCGTCATAGTTGTCCGCAGCGGGGCTGATGGTGGCGACCATGGCGGTGCGGCTGTTCCCTCCCAGGCTGTCCTGTAGGAAAAAGAAATCAAATAACCATCTGAGCCCTGAAGCTTGATAGGCAAAATGACCAAGAGCAATCCAGACAATTAATTACTTAAAGACTCCAAAGCCTTATTTCTTTGGATTTACAAAATGCATTTTGTTCTTATTGATCCACATATTTATAAACTATTCAGTAAACAGTATTTATTTGACTGTAACGTATTTAATTATATATTCAGTTTTATCTTACTCTATCTTATATGTTTATTTGCATTATTTTTTGTATTTTTCTTTTTCTTCAATTCTGTAGTGAATTAAAAAGGTAACAAAGTGCAATATAACTGAAGCTAAAGACATCCAGCTGTTTGTCTGTAGAGGAATCTATTCTTGAAAGGTGTGTTCATGTCGCTCTGTACCTTGAGCAGCCAGGTGAGCACAGAGTCTCTGTAGGGAACAAACTTGTTCCTGTTCTTCCCCGCTCCCTGGTCAGCCAAGGCAGAGATAACTAGACCCAGAGTACTGAGGGATCTGCAGGGGGAAGGGGGGGGGGGGGGGGGGGGCAGAGTGGAGCGAGGGAAGTATTTAGGGGACAGAATGAAACAGAGAAGGACAAAAAGAACAAAGTACATCTTGGCCTGAAAGGATTTCCCCCAAGGACACTTGTTGTTTACTGCAGGGAATGTGGATTGAACCACCCACCCTGTGATTGGTAGACGCCCATTTACCACACTTTGAGCCACAGCCAGCACAAACTGAAAAGTGAGAGTAGACCTATGGTGTAGACTGAAAACAAACACAATCCCAGCCAACTTTTTTCAAGTTATAATACACTTAAGTAAAACACATCCTATTGAAATGTGTCTTTTATTGTATTGACTTGCATTGCATTTGATATTGAGGTATAGCCTAATTCACAGGTAAAAGGAAGTTATCAGGTTACATCACATTTTCAATATCATTAAGATTTAACTCGAAATTAAAGTTGAAATCCTTATTGGTGCTCAGTGGGAGTTTTTTTAAATAACATTATTATTCCATCCTTCCATCTCCCTCCTTCTCTCCCTCTTCCCCAGGCACCTACAGCTTGTCACTTAATGTAGTTCTTAGAAGAAGAACTTGGTTGAGGTCTTTAATGTTGTTTATCAGTTTTTGTTGACTCACTTATTGATGTTGCTGCCTTCTTTCAGACGTTCCCCCGCTGCTCCGGTCTTCGCCGCCCGCTCGCTGCCGGCCAGATCCACCAGACTCAGCTTGCTCACCTTCTCTCCACTCGTCTGCAGGGGACACACAACAACACTTTAACAATTTATACTTATTATGTTGAACTTTACTCATCAAATATAATCTTCTTTCTCTCAGTATCTTCAGTCATTGTGGAGAGACATTTGACTGTAATCTGGAGATGTATGGATAACCAAAAGAGATTGAATCATGAGCTGAGCATTCATTTGGAATGCATGTCAAAGTGCTGCCTAACTGGTCAAACAGTCCTTAATATTGCACTCAAGGTCAATTCTAAAAGAAGAAGAAACAAAAAGATAAGGAATTGTAAATGACGATTCTCTCTCACTGAAGCCTCACAGAAACGGGTTAAACAAGATGCATTTGGGTTTGTGATTTTGGAAAAAAGCCTTGATTTGTCCTAGAAACCAAAAAGAGACCTGTTGTCTTACTTTAAGTCCTCTTATTTTGATATGTTTTGATTCTGTTATTTGAAAAATTATGTTTTTTGTCTTCATTTGTAAGGTTTTAGTTTTTCTGTCAGCAAACATTTTTCTGTCAGGAGGATTTCCTTCTTCTCCAGGATGCACATATTTATTTTCTTAATGACACTCTATCCCAGTGGTTCTCAAATTAGGGTACGCGGACCCCTAGGGGTACGTTGGAGTACTGCAGGGGGTACGTGAGATGTATTTTATGTTAATGAAAAAAACAACATAAGTAATGCATTTAAACAAACTACTAATAGTAGATGAACTACTTTATTCAAAGGTTTACAGTCATTCTGGATAATAAAATGGGAAAAATAAACAGGGTGCTCTCTTTTCCTCTCTCTCTCCTGACAGCCCGTCAGTCTCGTGCAGCTCGCTGAACCTGTAATAAGTGACCCGACAGTAAAGAATACATATATTTATAACTAGTTTAGCTAGTTCCAGAGTAGATAAACTAGCTAAGTGTGTTAGGTCTAACTCTTAGTGTATTTAATTTGGCTCTACTCAACGGTCCGCGGCGGAGCTGTGATCATGCAGAGCTGCGTGTTCTCCGTCAGCAGCAGCTGATCACTGATCTCTCTCTCACGTCCGGTTATACTTCACTCGCGTTTATGTCCAAAACTATCAGATCTAGCTAGTTGTAGTTAATTATCTGACTGCCTGCTTATCAAAGGACACCTAAACAATAAGCATTGCTTGGCAACGGCATGTGGTCGCAAAGTATAGCGCAGCATTATGCATATGTTTATATGCTCATAAAATGCTCATATTTTTTTTTCTCTTCATTCCCCACGCCCCTAAATAAATAAATATACCAATTTTAGGAAAAGTAACGAAGTTTGAGCAGTGTGGGTTTTATATGAACAGAGTTACACATATTTCAAAACATGAAGTGTAATAACTGCAGTTTGCCTCCCTGTCAGAATGACACAGATCCTCAGTGAAGCACAAGCCCATGTTTCTCACTAAATTGTAAGTACAACTTATTAAAAAGATCAGTTCAATGCAACTAATGTCGTCTTAGTGTTATTGCATGATGTTAAAATTGGTTTGCCATGAATTTAGTGATGGATTGTAAACATTTGAAATGTAGCATTTAAGTGTTTCTCAGTTACAAGGTTGTTGTTTTAATAAATCAGACACTGATGGTGCAGCGCTGTACCTCTTTATATAGGCATTTTTTCCTTAACAAATCGTTTTTGCGCTGATCAGGGGGTACTTGGCTGAATTTTTTTTCAAAGGGGGTACATTATTGAAATAAGTTTGAGAACCACTGCTCTATCCTGATTAAAAATAAAGGTTACATTTATTTACAATTTCCAGTTGAACAAAGAAAGAATGAAACTAAAACTAAAATAATGCTACATTTTGATTCAACAGAACATGTACCAACATCAATTCATAATTGTTTAAAACATTTAATCACCAAGAGAACATTGATTTTTTTAGGTTTACATATCTGAGAATTGCTAAGTCAAAGTCAATTAAATGTTTTGAATCTGGACTTGACCTTGGACAAGAAACATGAGGGACATTTAGACTATGTTTGCCATTTAAAATCAGTATAAATAAGTATCATTTATACAGGTATTGATAATATAGGGTTTCAAAGTACTTGACAAAAATCCCAAATAATTATTTGTCAACAGCTGATTCTCAGTGTGCATGTGTGAGTGTGTTACCTCAGACTTCAGGTCCGTGAGTGTGTGTGTGAGGATGATGTTGAACACAGCGTGGGATCTGCTGCTCTCTTCGTTCATATTGGTGGCGGCAACTGTGCGAGATTTATTTCCCTCTGACATCAGAGACTCGATGTCCTGTCAGCAAACAAACACACGTCTCGTCTGCGCCGTACTTTATGAAATAACATGTTTCCCTTGGCTATGTCTGGAAAGCAAAGGAAAACCAGAGCAGAAATCAAATGATAAAGTACCGTGTAGCAGGCCACAGCCAGGCGGGACAGGCCGTCCACGTAAGGCCCCATCACTTTGTGCTCTCTCACTCTCAGAGCCTGGCGGTTTCTGCAGAGAAGAGACAGTTCTTATTTATTCAATCTAAGATCCAGATCTAGCCCATAACGTATGTCAAAGATCATATGTATAGCAGAAATGGACTGAAGGCTCATATGACTGCACAGCATTTTGCAGTTTACAGCATCAAATCCAAAATAAAATGGTGTTTTCTTAATAAATGCATGGCCATGCAATTCAAAAATGTACTGTGTGCAGTTGTACTCAGATGTTTTGCTTAAGTAAAAGTAGAAATTCTAATCCTGAATTCAAAATGTAACTAAAGTAGAGAAGTATTAGCAGAAAAGTGTTCATCAAAGTATAAAAATAAACTGTTCTCTTTTTACAGTATCATACAATTATAGAATAGTAGTATTCTGTTCTGTTCTGTTCTGTTCTGTTCTTTGACTTTGACTTTGACTTATAAGTTTGTCACGTCGAGCCAATTTTAAATGTTAAAATATCATGGGCTTTTATATGTAAAAAAGTTACTAGTAAATATAGTTAAATATATGTTATGGTGTGGTCTGCTGGGGCAGTAGCATATCAGCTGCAGACAGGAAGAGACGAAACAGACTGATAAGGAAGGCCAACCCCTTTTGTTCTAATCTACTGTGCCGTAATCACCGTGGTGTGCGTTTCATACATACATTCAGAATATCTCTCTTTAAATGTTCACCTAGCTTTTAAAATGCTGCTACTTATTTTTAGCAATGGACTTTAATCTTATTGTATTACTAATGTGTGCTTTTCTCTATATTTAATATGCAAGCTTACTCTTTCTTATTGTTTGCCTTTTATCTGCTATGTCACTTTTGTAAACTTCCCCCGCTGAAGGACTAATGATTCTGATAAACAATTGTAGTGGAGTAAAAAGCATGATAAACCCATCTAACATGTAGTAGAAGTATAAAGTATCATCAATTGGTACAAAAAAAAGTACACTCATTTTCAAAAAAAATTAAATATTTGAAACAATATATAGTACATTTTGAAGTATGTCAAAATAGTACTGAAGGACCATACTTGCATAAATGTACTTCAGTTACATTTCAACACTGACTGCTGATCATTTCTTTGAGAATTGAAAGGAGGAGACAAATGGGATGGTCCCAGGATTGGATTTCGAACCCAGAACATGGTCTACCAGCTCCACCAGGCTATATAAAAAGTGAACTACACCGAACAGTTCCTCACCCTTTGGGGTCGAGCAGGTCTCGGACCTTCTCGTTGTAGATCTCCATGTAGGACACCTCCACGGTGAACTGCTCCTCCTCCCCCGCCTCCTTCACCGTCCTGCTGAACAGGGAGCTGCACAGCCGAGGGATCAGACCTGGCTGCTCCGCTGTGCCCATCATGGTGTACGACTTCCCCGAGCCTGGACACACACACACACACACACACACACACACACACACACACACACACACACACACACACACACACACACACACACACACACACACACACACACACACACACACACACACACACACACACACACACACACACACACACACACACACACACACACACACACACACACACACACACACACACACACACACACACACACACACACACACACACACACACACACACACACACACACACACCCACACACACACACACACACACACACACACACACACACACACACACACACACACACACACACACACACACACACACACACACACACACACACACACACACACACACACACACACACACACACACACACACACACACGGAACAGTGGCAGCAAGTGAGGAAAAAAGGGCTCACTCATAAAGCATTTGAATACAAATCAGGGGAGTACTGCAGATGGTTCTGAAAAAACAAGCTGTACGCGTGACTAGGAATAATCAGATATCGCACAACTCTTTTTAAACCTTAATGCAAATTCTAAATGGATGAATGAACAGAGTGATGGTTTAGATTTTGATGTATTATCATTGCAAAATGAAACACCCTCAAATGAAAAGCAAATGTAACGCCTGGTTGAGACTGTCTGAAGATGTGATGACGTTCACTTTCAGTCTCCTAGTAAACGGCAGAGTGGTTACATATGTTTAAGTCAGAAAGTTATCCCATCAACACAGAAATCCCCATGACATTTACAACTATATAGATATTTGTCAAAGATAGACAAAACGTTAAGGGAGCCAAGTTCAATTGCTTTCATGATTTTGGCTCCCAACAATGAAATGCACATCGTCTGCAATATTATTATTTATATATCATGCTCCACTGAATGGGAACGTTTTCTGAATGCTAAAGCTGCAGTCAGATTCCAAAAAGAAAATCCAGGTGATAAAAAAACCAATGTGAAGGCTTACTGTATAATGATGCCTAATTGAAAAGCCAGACGCGAACAAAACGTCCTGTAATATGTTAACAATAAAGTCTTGAAACCTTCCTTTTGTAAGTAGGCTCTTAATGTGTAAAAAATGTTTGTAAGTAATGAGTTTGGTTGGGTTTTGTAGATTAACATCAATCAGGAGTACAACTGTTCGGACTCTTTATTATGTATTTTGTCTTTCAATGACAAATCTACAAAACTTTCTTTAATCAGAAGAACATCATAAACGTTACGTGTTATTGCAGCTTCACTAAAACTAATATGCCATGGCTAGAATGACAACAACAGTGCTTCCACTACAGGACCTTTACTAATGTTACCAGAGACCCATCATTCAGATGTCTGCAGGTTAAGATGTTACCTGTCTGTCCGTAAGCAAAGATGCAGGCATTGTATCCCATGAAGGCGTTGTCCAGCAGACTCTCCCCAAGGCACTGGAACACCACATCCTGACCTGCACACACATCACAAACACACTTTAACATCTCAAAATACACACTGCAACATCAACTCAAGATAAGATTCTTTTAGTAGCAAAGCAGAGTAGAGGAGATGCTAAAGGGGAAATGAATTAAAGTGGACCTATCATGCTATATTTGAATAATATAGTGTAGGACCATACCTATATAAGGAATATTTATACTTTTTTTTTTTCAAAATACCAAACAGATCATGCATTTTAGCCATGCCTCATTTTGCTCAATTTGACCATTTCTAGCTCTGGGCATGATTCATGTGAGAACAGCACCATCTACAGGCCTGGCATATGTACTACAGCGTCTCCAGCGCTTTCGAACGGCAATGGCCGTGGCTGTCTCCTCCTGATTGGTGGAGTTGGCCCAATAGCCGTAGCTCCCACCGTCCTGACGTCAGGACAGTGTTCAAATCTGGATCAGTTTTTATCAGATCCGTTGCAGCCCCTTTTTTAGAGATTTGGGTATGGAGGAAAATAGAGAGGGTTGTGTTTTCTGACACTTGGTGAGTTCCCTGGAACACCGGGGACACATATTCATGTATAAAAGACGTACAAAAGTGCATTTAGCATGATAGGTCCCCTTTAAAGGAAACACAAATGCATGAGAAATACAAAAAGAACTCTTTATATACATTGAGGTGACTTGCTGTTCTTTCTCTATATGCGACAAGACCGACAGACCAGAATTAAAACAGGCAGTTTGTTCCATTACCTACTATTAATACCCCTCACATTGTTAAGAAACCCCCTGGCAACGCTTTTGTTCAACCCCTTTACAAATGTACCAGACCGCAGAACTAATCTAGAGGTAAACAATGTGTAACTCTTAATCCCACCCCCTGAACTCTCCCTTTCTTCGACTCCATAAATAGTCCAGAATATCAGGAAACACGGCGTCAGGAGATACGTTAAGAAATGAGTCACACACAAGCTAAAAACAGAACCAAATCTATTAGAGGTCAGAACACAGAGTCAGGGGGAAATACAGACCTGCAAACTTGTCTTTTTGAGATTCATCGATGGACCAGAAGCAGTTGTCATAGGCAAAAACCTGAGGAACACACGATTTAGAAACAACTCATGCATGGATAGTCGGCAGAAAGAGTATTCAATCATTAAGGGTATAAATGACTACTCACCTTTGACTGATTTCTGAGGACCCCAAGGAGAAGAAATTACAATATGAGTTAGTAATTGATGTTGAAATACACATGAACATGTCAACTAACCTAGAAACTATTTGACATTTTTCAGTGAGCCTTTTACATGCCAGTGGATTTACACATCATACAGTAGGAAACACAGGAGGCAACTTCGCCAACGCAAGGATATGTGACACTATTTATTACATAGCAACTCTATCAGTGCCAGCAACATTACATGATTTCAAATGTTTGTCCTGGTAAGAACTGCTTTTCAAGATTCAAAGCAAAGCAAAGGATCATTTTCAAGGCAAGCAAAAGCCCGGAGGCAAGCAAAGCGCTCTCTTTACTTTCACACAGTTACACACAATCACACCTGGAAGCTGTCCAGGCAGCAGTCGTTAAAGGTAGAGTACGTGGTGTTGCAGAATTACTGTAATATTTCTAATGGAAATGTTAATTCATTGGACTCGTAAATGTAAACGTTATCTGCTAAAGCTGTATTTACCGTGTCATAAACAGATAGAAACAAATATGTTACCATATCATAGGGAAACATAATCCACTTGCCGAATAAATTAGCAACTTAACGCATGGGAAAAGTACAATTATTTTTTTGATTTTGAGCCACCTATGTGGCTTTGTGGAAAGTTTGGGATTAAAGTGAACAACTCATTTATAAAAGAATATCAATAGAAATATATGAATCAAAACTCATTTAGCATGCTTAATCCTCATACATCTCACATGTTAACAGCTAGCTAGCAGAAACTAGCAGAAGGTGCTCCCATGTAAACACATTATTAACCGTGTACTTTACTCTATTAACTGCTTAATTATATCGGAATTAAACCTAAATACATTAAACCGAGACGTGACATTATTCGTAGCGTTTTTGTTTTATTTACACCCCCCACACAAATAAGTAACTATTAAAAAAAGGTATGACTTTTATTGAGTTAGCGTCAACTCCCCTCTGAAATGTCCAACCCTACTGTATGTAAGCTTCACTTCTTAATGTTTCCCACCAACATGCTCCCAGCCAGTCTGGGCAGTCTTTGCTCACAACACTGCTTGTCTAACCTTTAGGCCACTGGTTCCCAACCTTTGGGTCACAAGCAGGTTTAGTCAGATGTTCCCAGTTTACTTCGGGATACGTACAAAAAACATTCATACTAATTATTTCTAATGTCTACTTCGAAGATAGAGCTTACTTTTTCTTGTGATATACTTAGTTCTTAAAGAACCTAATAGTTAGGTATTAGTTAGGCCTCTAGATTATTCTCTTATAATTCATTAAATAAAGCATACGGAAGAGGAAAAACTGGTTGAGCTGTTTACCACTCTGCATTGGCAGCATGTCACGAGGGATGTCAGTAGGCATTACTTTTAAACTCAGACATTATGATTTAAAAAAAAGTTGACAACATGCTATGATGAAGAAATCAGCTCTAAGCTGCCAGGATGCATTAGTAAAGGAACGAAGGGCTCAAGGGGCCCCGAAGTCAGACGCATGAAGTGACATTTCTTATGGGAAAGGCAAAGGGCTCAGTCAAAAGTAGGGTTATCATGTTTTTTAATTAAATACTAACTACTATATGTCTCTCTGGGTGAGTACTCACTTATTAAAATAAATGATACGTATGTCAATGACCTGTTTGCCCTAGCAGATACTTGACATTCTCCAACAGATCTGAGGCATTTTAGAAAATGGGGCAAAAACCACTGCAGTGCAGTAACAGCAGAGCTAGCAAATACTTAAAGTCTCACATAACCCCAGGTCAAAGTCATTGGAGTAAGAGGGGGGAGTTTCAAAGACACAAAGTCAAAGGTGTTTTAATGTAGTGAAGCTTAAAAATCTGTCAAGCTGACTAATCCTCTTTGGCTCATTGTGAATCAAGTGGAGAATGTGACGCAGCGCTAACAACCCCAGAGCCTCTCAGTGTCCCTGAGACACAGGCTGAGACCATATCTGCATTCTTACCAGAGCACTCTAAGAAACACTCAGTGCTCTTAGGTTCATCCCCTAGCAGCCAACCATAATATCCTATGCATCAGTCGGCAAACACATCAACACATTCCAGCCAGCTAACGTCACATTTATTTATCAAACATCCATTGGCAATGTAGCATTCATGAACCCAGCACTAGTCACATTGTGTCGCTAAATAGATTGTTTTCTTCTTACTTCTGGAGATGAAACCAGAGATTGATCCCCAAGGTCTGCAATTTCCCTCAGTGTTTCAGAGCGTTTTAGCGTCTTTGAGTTCATTGTTTGTGCTTTCCGGCCGACAACTTTCAGAATTTGGAACACTAATTGTACTTTTTCTATTAGTGTATCAATTTGGGCTACAAATGTAGTCACGCGCACACACACACACACACACACACACACACACACACACACACACACACACACACACACACACACACACACACACACACACACACACACACACACACACACACACACACACACACACACACACACACACACACACACACACACACACACACACACACACACACACACACACACACACACACACACACACACACACACACACACACACACACACACACACACACACACACACACACACACACACACACACACACACACACACACACACACACACACACACACACACACACACACACACACACACACACACACACACACACACACACACACACACACACACACACACACACACACACACACACACACACACACACACGTACGTAATGAAACAAGGCCTCCCTATGTGTGACTTGGCTGCTCCATGAAAGAGTAACATTAAGTCCCGTCCTCTCCTGGGCTGGCAAGGACATTCCTGAGATAACTGGCAGAGCCTCGCAGCTCCAAGGAGACACCGACGCAGAGGGAGGAGGACGGTGGGTCAGCAAATCTGGGATCAACAACAATCTGACCTACACAACTAGAATACTCCGATTTGATAACATACAGCCTTTCCGAGTGGTGTCTGCATATTACAAATTCTGTACCACGTTCCATGAACAGATGAAAGTGGGGCACTTATCAAATGTTTAGATAAGAAAGGCTCTCAACTTCCATAAATATTCCAGCAACAACTCAAGGTCTGGTACAGCATGTGCAATACAATGGCACCCATGAAACTATAGTTTTACAGGCCTGCTTTAAAGTTATGAAAGAAGACCAAAGGCTTTATTAATCTACAACATGTCGGGGGTCTGACAGCCTCCTGCTGTGAGCCTGCTTGCAGCCACCAAGGGGGCCGTAACATATTACCACCCCCTGAGGCTCATGCATTTATTCTGTTAGCTTGTCAGGCAGAGAGCTGAATCAGCACAAACCTTATGGAATTGGCTGCTGGTGAGTGACTCCCCCAACAAACAAAGCTTTTCTGGAACACCGATTTAGCTCGTAATAGAAGATGGAACCTAATCAAGAGTTTAAAAACTGAGCTTCCCAGTTAAAAATAATTGCGTTGTGGCTGATTAAAATGAGTTTACCTCTCCCTTTTGCCTCACTAAGACCCTTGTGCTGCTCTGGGATCATGGAGTTGATGTTGCGATCAGCCGGTAAAACCTGTTCACATTGATCCCCAAGGGGAAGCATACCGCTGCTGAAGCGTGTCAAGGCAGAAGAATATACACAGACAGACACCAAATGCATAGAACTATGAAATATGACACTTTCTGTTTCTACAAAGACAGAGATTCATTCACTCGCATATTTCCTGAACAAGGTAACCTGAGAAGGGGCTGAAGCCTCCAGGGAGCATCTACCTGGGCTGCTCTGAGGAGAGGACTTTGTCAACAGCAAAACACTGCCCAGGGGCACGCTTTCCATTTAACACAATCAATACACATTTTGCATCCACATGTCATTCTGTGGCTATTTTGATATGTGTGGGAGAGGGACATTTGGTATTTGAGCCTTTGCAGACCATTTACATGCACTAAAAACAATAAGACATTTTGTCCAAATTGTGCAGCCATAATTAAACCAAGGACAAATGTCCATAGTAACTGGAGTATAAATTGTAACTTCAATTCTTAAAGTCTCAAGTGTTGACAGTGTCTTCTCCTTTGTTATATTCCTCTAGATCATGGTTTTGGCTACCCGAGCAGGACTGAGCTGGAACAGACACGCCTTTTGTAAAGAGAGGAATGATGCAGCAAGGACACAGAGGGAGGAGGACAAATGTAATGGAGTAATAGAGGGAGGAAGGGTGTGGTGAGGGTGAGATCTGAGCTTCTTCCAAGCAGCTGGGTGTTAACTTGACAGGCTGGTTAGAGTGTTTATTAACTCTTCTGCCAGTAATCCTGAGGGAATTAAATAAATGAAAGTCTTATACTGCAATAACTGTATAAGTAAATACCTGAACTTGGCAAAACATGAACTTGCCGCTGCATAGAACTGAGTTCAGTTCAGGTTGTTTACCTAATTTAATTCATGTGTATCTTTATTTTAAATGTATGTGTTTATGTGATTTAGATTATTAGTTGATTTAATGTAATGCATATATTATTATTTATATCTTTAGATTTACTCATGTTAACATTTTGGGGGGAAATTCTACTTTGTAACATGTTGAATGTAGAGTATTCAAACCCCAACTCACCCAGTCAAAATTGAATTATACAAAACTGAGGTAGGTTCAGAAACACAAGCACATCACTGCAACGCAGCTGCATGCTGTCGGCACTTCTGTGATTCACCTAAAGGAGCCCTGAGCTGCCCTACCATAACTTGACCTACTACATATTATAGTTGCTATTGTACATGCACCTATAATGGAAAAATACAGGTTAATAAATATATCAAAAAATATGGTACAAAATACCAGTTTCCATGTCCATTAACATTCTAGTGTCCAATGAAAGTCCCAAAATGAATGTGGATCCTACACAAGTCATGTGACTTAAACAAGCACCAACCGCTGCCATATTCATAAGAGATGTCTCATGAGTAAGAGACAAAGACAAACAAATAATATGGCTTCACATGGTGACCTCACTGTGAATAGCCCAGGAACCAAGAATGAGTAGCAAATGCTTCAGCAGAAAAAATATGTAATACATAAAAAGTATACAAGAAAATGACACAGCTTGTCTATATAAACGGGTGTGTGAAACTTACCGGGAGTCACTTTTGTTCAAGTTGATGATGGCCGGGTGCAGAACCGTCTGGTTCCCATCCATATCTACGACACATTTTGTCTTTAGCTCTTTTTCTGAAAAAACAGTGAAAAAATATTTATTTTTAAATAACATTAAACATGCTTTTCTCTGTAGTACCATCCGTAACATGTTGTTAATGAGTGAATAGTCCTAATAAATACATTTTTAAAGCTACAAAATATGGTAAGTTAGTTGCAAAATGGCTCTCAAACTATCAAAATGTTAAAGAGCATGTTCTGTATACACTGGTCATCATAACTTTCCCTAGTAGTCACTGACACAACTGTCATCCCAGAATAACAGGTGGCATACACTGTGTGTTTGTGTGTGTGTTAGTGTGCCAGCTCCTTGTGATTGTAACACATACTGTAAAGCCCGACATGGAGCAGGAAATAGTGATTCATCCAGGACTTGCCTGTGCAAACAATACAACCCCTTTACAACTCTGAGCAGGCAGTAAGGAAAAGCAGCTACTCTTCCTCATTCCTACCTGCAGAGCAAGGCTTTTCAGGCTGAGACAGCACTGGAACTTCCTGTTAGAGCAGGAGTTAGGGCACGTGTTGTGTGAGATTTTCCACTGTTACACTTAATGAGGCATATTTGTAGTTTTGCAAAGCCAATTGGAGAGGTGACATGAAATTAAAAGTAATGTTGTTGGTGGAAACAAATATTTGTCTGCTGTAATGCACGACACTGCACATGCATAACAGTCCCTTCACTGTAAGGATATGATGTCACTGTCCCTTCAATATTTTTCCATTTCTACTCTAACAGCACTCCAGCCAAGACTTTTCCAAAGAAGGACAGCATGGACCTTTTCAGAGCCTTTCCAAAGAAAGGAACTCAAACTAAAAGAGCCCTTTTAAAGCTGGACAGAATTGTTGAAAAGGTCTTTGTTGGGCACATGAAAACAAACCAATAAGTGGCTGTCTTTCGTGAATCATAACTGCTGAACATGTCACAAGGTTTATCTGACATTAAACTCACCTCTCCTGTTCATTGGTCGCACACGAACAGCGACCTTTACATTGGAGTCATTCAGGCTGTCATCCATGGTGGCACCTGACCTGTGACAAATGAATGAATGGACAATAACACATTTAGTGTTTTCCTTTGTTTAACTTACTGAAGTGTTACTTACTACTTTCTAAATTCATAGTGTCCTTAAATCAAAATGAGATACGTGTTACACCTGAACAGAGCGTCATCACGCGATATGCCAATATTTATACATAAACAAGCTAGTGTCCTGCTTAATATAATACTATTCATGCGAAACCCATATCTAAGTATCTAGTAAAAACGTTCATGACGACATAACAAGCTAAAATACAAGGTATACTGTAAAGAGAAGTGGACAAACCGTGTGAAAGAGTGCGCAGTTGTTTCCCTATCCGACTCCCACAGACACCTTGAAGTACTCTCAGCAGCTAGCCCGGGACGCTAACGAGAGCTGGATAACAGCAAACACACAGAGGGGTCAAATGTGTTTTATAATTACCCTTATAAATGTAACTAACCATGTTAAGTGTGCTAAATAACCTTGGTTTCTTTTCGTAAGTTTAAAAAAACACTTACGACACACGGTTCATTCCCTCGGCTCCTCCACCTGTTGCATTTCCTGAAACTTCCCTCAGTGATAAGTCAAGCCATGTCAGCTCGAGCTAAAGGGATTTGCTGTGAGATTTAGCGAGCCTTCCAAGTTCTCTAGTTGCGCTCTGCTCCGCACACACTGGCCCACTTGGTTTGAGGGAATTCAGCGCCACTGTGTGGATCCACATGCATTACAAGTCTGTGAGATTTGTCCTAAACATGTTCAGAAAAACAAAGTAAAATATCCCTAATTAATGGTCATTTAGCTGTTACAGCGGTTATAGAAGGGTGGGCTCTGTTTTGCCCTTGTGACATTTTTAAAATTCCAATAACACGCCGTTCATTCGTGGAGAAGACCCATTTACGACATTGTACGACAGTTTCGGTTGCCGTACGACTGAAGCCGTGTTTGGGAGCAACGTGGAGTTGTTTACTATTTCTGACAGCCTTCTCGGGTTAAAAACAGATGTAATTCTGCCTACAATAACCCACCCGTTGGAATTTGGACGGTCAGCCTCAAAGAAAAAATGGGGAAGCCAAAGAAAAAGAGTGAGTGTGTTAAATATACCTGAAATTACTTTCTAAACGGGTCTGTTCGACTTTAGCTTGTTGCTAATGCTAACAAGTCTTCCCAATATTTTAAACATGATAACAGCGATATAACTTGTAGGCCTACTGCGTACATATTGTCATTTTAAAGGCGAGTTATTACAGTTATTGACAATGGGTTTCATAAACTCTAACGTTACTGTTGCTCAATATATACGCTACATTACATCTACGTTTCATGTACCTGGATCTTGTAAATATGGCTTTTTGAACTCCATGCATCTGTGTAAAAGTACTAAACTAATCTCATAGTATTGATCATTTTTGTTAGGTGATCTCAGCCGGGCTGAGCTGATGATGATGACCATTGCTGATGTCATCAATCAGCTGGTTGAAGCACATGAAGAGGGCAAAGATATTAATCTCAACAAGTAAGTATACAGCCCCTTGCTCAATTAAGTCCCAACTCTATACTACTCAAGCCTTTAGTAACTATTAAAGACAAGCTCTATGGATAAAAAAAACACATGCACAGATCAATATTTAAAGTTATAATTCATAATTAAATATGTGTCTTTCTATGATTCTGTTTGTAAAGAGTGAAGACTAAGACTTCAGCAAAGTATGGACTTGAATCCATGCCTCGATTGGTGGACATCATCGCTGCGGTTCCACCACAGTACCGCCGGGCTCTGGTGCCCAAACTGAAGGCCAAGCCCATCCGCACTGCCAGTGGGGTATGTTCAATTAGCTTGGGTCCACCAAATAAAAATCTCTCACTCGGGCCCACATATATTTTGCTTTGGCTACAAATAGTTTGTATTCTGATTTACTTAATCTAATAATGTGGGAGGCTGTGGCTCAGTGGGATAGTGCACTGATTTTTGATCAGGGGAGAGCAAGTTCGAATCCCACTGCAGTCAGCATGGGCAAGACATTTTACCCCAATTGCTCCTGTGGGGATTGGCCCCAGTACTGAGTATATGTAAGTCACTTTGGATAAAAGCATCTAACAAGTAACATGTAATGTAGTATGTAGGGTTTGTGTTAAGAGTTTCAGCGTTTGCTTGTGTAATATTATCTTTTTGCGTTCTAGTTCATGCTGTATCCATGATGCATGATGACGGTTCTCTTATCTAGGAATGTGAAACAATCTTTGTTTGTAAAGAAAGTCATGAAAATGTCAGCCTACTAAATAGTATTGTCAAGAGTGTTTTCACACAGGTTATATTCAGGAAATCAATCAACTTAATCCTTGTGTCTTCTATCCAGATTGCAGTGGTTGCTGTGATGTGCAAACCACATCGATGTCCTCACATCAGCTTCACAGGCAACATCTGTGTGTAAGTAACAATAGTCTGTGCAGATTTTATTTTTATTTTTTACTTGATCATTATGCACTGCTTGCAAGATTATGCTCATTTAAATGTACACCATTTCAGAACTTGGCTGCAAAATATGTAAATAAACATTAAAGATGGGATCTGGTTGTTATTGCTTATTAAGATTTATTTTTTCAACAATGTGTTTTTCTTCTCTTTCCGTTTACCCTGGCAGCTACTGTCCTGGAGGACCAGACTCAGACTTTGAGTACTCTACACAGTCGTACACTGGATATGAGGTACGCTAGTTTCATTCTGCCTCAGGAAGCGAGTAAAGCTTTTTATATGTAGATTTATTCAAACAGTTAACATGAAAATATATGTCAATAATGTAAGAAAAACTCAATATATAAAGAATCGGACATCAACCAAACACATTTCACATGAATAAGAAGTAAAGTAAAATATAATTACAAAAGATAAAGATAAAGATGTACATATCAACAGTAGAAGATAAACAAAACAGTGAATATATACATATCAATTGTGAAGGATATACATTGTAACAGCCATTTCAATGATGGTCATATTTTGGTTGAGGTTTCACAGTTGTGTGTTATTCACTGTGTGTGCCATCTGAGGCCTGTACTACGAAGCAGGATTTTCGCTTAGCGAGCTAACTTCAGGGAAAACTCTGGGTTTCCGGTCCTACGACACTGGGTCTCTTTTTAGCGGGCTAGATCTCCATGGTAACTTATGCTGAGCGGCTAACCTGCTCCGGAGCAGGTTAGGTTGCAGGCTAAGAGATCAACTCAGTGAAAGCACCGCCTGCTGACCAATCAGAGCTCCGTGTGCGGAGTTTAAAGCGATCAAGTCATATTACAGGATAAATACAGAAAAACTGCCGTTGCAGGAAAGACAGCCGGCCAAAATCAACTGACTGTGTGAACGTGAAAATTAATAGAATATCCCCTCCCATCTTCAGAGCAATCTGACTATTATAACATTAGCGTTAAGAAAGCTTACTTAAATATCTGCCACGACATAAGTAACCGGATCAGAGTAACATTAAGTACAGTCCGCGGCACTGTGAGTGCAGACGTCGATGTGTCCCATTATCATTCATATCATATCACATCATAATGTATCATATATTTCCTTATTTGAGTCAGCTTCTTGAGCCGTATCTGGCCGTGCAACACTCACAGTGTCACATACTGTATGCAGAAGTATTATTTTAAGCAACACATTAAGTTGACGAAACACTCGAGTCAAATGTAATTAAAGTCAGATCGTGTCTTAGACGGGGCAGTGATATCATAAACCTGTTAATGTACACATTCAAACGCTTTTTCTGTTACCAGCTGTATTCACCTTGCAGGTGCAGCTATGTGGCTTTTATCCTGGATAAAGTGTTTAAGTCATGGATGTTTAAAGTTTAACTTCTTCATATTTGACTAATATTAAAGTTCACTTTTCATTCAGGAAGTATGACGCTGCGCTGTCAGTACGCTTGTCCATGTTTGTGATTGGTCGAATGCTCCAAATACCACCCCTTTCATGTGAACGCGCACCTAACTAGATAGGACACGGCTGGCTTGAGCGATCCACTTGATAACCAGCGTCGTAGTACAGTTTAGCCAGAGCGCGTATGTTTTGGATTGGGCCAACTGGCTAACTCAAACATATCCAGGTTAGGTTGAACCAGCTTCGTAGTACAGGCCTCTGGTGTCCCTGTCTGATTCCCTATGGCACAGGTATTTAAGGTGTGTGTTGTCACAGGAAAGGTTGTGTGTTCGACCACAGTACCGCAAATGTGATTGCCACAAAGGCTTGTTTGTTAAGGCATTGAATACAAATTGACTTTATTATGCACAACAACGATACAATAAATGGATTGTATTATTGCGCACCTCAATAAAAGCTACCGATTCATGAGTAAAACAACAACCGAACCGGTATCGTACAACACAGTAAAGCGCGTAAGCCAAGTCATCCCCGGGAGTTAAAACACCATAGTAGCTTTAGTATTATATCTATTGAATAAACAATATAAATATACAGAATTGTGTTAGATCAAAGTCCTTATTCTGTAGTTGTAGTTTGACTTTAGGTATTTTATTTAAGTCTTGTTTTTTTGTCCCTTTCTCTTTCTTATAGCCAACGTCCATGAGAGCAATCCGAGCCCGCTATGACCCCTACCTCCAGACCAGACATCGAGTGGAGCAGGTCAGTGTTACTCTAATTCCTTTTTTTAAATCATTTTTGTTAATGGTTCATGAATGCATGGCCTTTTACACAGAAAGTCATTTAATGCGGTGACACAGCAGCCTCTGTTTCGTACATACCATTTGATTGACCTGAGGTTACTATCCAAAGTCTCTTACAATAAGAGCAGTAAACCATGAAGAAACAGACTCTAAACCGCATGAATCCTGCAAGTACATTAGCCATTAAATAAGCCAAACTTTTTAACGGAAATGAGAATAGTATTTTCTTTATCGGCCAACTTGGAGTTAAAACAGGTGGGATTTGTCTTCCTCTGCCATATCCTCAAATCAGCTTCTGTGCAGTGATCTTCTTTACTTGAATACACGTTTAAATCATACCCATTGATAACATATTTAGTATAGAGTAATGAGTGTCATGGCTTTTACCCTCCTGCTGTGACCCGACCCCAATTGTGCCATTATTCAAATGTAGTGCTACATTATTACATGCAGCAGAGCAAAGCCATCCATTAAAGCAACGGTTGATGTAAAAATATGTGCCATCTGAATTTAGTTTTGGCTGGTCGGTCTTATGTGTAATCGCTGTTTTAAGTATGACTCCAATTTGATATGAAAGATATTAATATATAATCGATCAGACCTATTCATGTAGAAAACTTTTCTTAGAGAAAGTCTCAGTCTCATTGCCACTGCATTGTTATTAGTTATACTAACAAGCTGCATGCGTTATCTAATACGGTGTGCAATGCATCTGTTCACGTATTTGGTTGTATCAAAAACAGAATTCAATATAGATTTGTATTCCTTATTTTTTTGTTGCTAATTGTATCTTTTCGTGATGTATTGATTGCTGTATATGAGGAGTGTGAATCTTTCAATATCTCAAGATTAGGTTCGAATTCAATTCTGGATTTTGAAAAAGTAACGCTAATGTCCTGCGCTTAGAAAGGTGGGGTTGCAAAGTATGGCATGAAAGCAGAGTTAAGTGTGTATTACGTTATGGAGTTTTATAAAAACGTCATTCATGCTGAACTTGCTCACACATGCTGGAAGTTGGGAATCGTTTCCGAATCTTATTCTTTTTTTTGTTCCCAAACCTATTCTATCTGTATTTGTATTTACTATGGAGGTTCTGCACATGACAAGTTGACATA